ATATGTAATCTTATACAGTAATGATTACAGTAAGCACTTCACTTTACATGTTGCAAATGAACTCAATACCTGTAATTAGGCAGTAGATGCAACTAGTAAGTAGGTGATCATTGAAGACAGTTTGTATCTGTTCTTCGGTTTTACTCAGAGGTTACATTTCCTCATGTGGTTCATTCATGTTGCCTGCATGGTATTGAAAATTTTTCACACCTTGTAAACAGGAAGTATAGTGGCCGCATCAACTTATCTAGGTGACAAAAATAGGCACATCTGAATGAATAAAAAATAATGTGAACAACATCAGTGTACAATAATTATTCATAACCTCTGATTAGCTGTATTATACTAAGCGAAATAATTAAATGAATAAAAGCAACTTGTGATTGAATTACTCGATAAGACATGAAGAAGTCTTTTAATTGTTATAACTAAGTTTCACACAATGTGAAAACAAAATATCAGTTGTTATTCACAAATGTATCTTGTTTACTAGGGAACTAACCAGATTTTGCGCTGACAGGTAACTGAGTATTTCTGCCCAAAAACCGAAAGGATGTTCTCACCTCGTAAAATAAACCAGTGTGGCGTTATCTTTTAACTAAAATCCTAGGAATTGATTCACTGTATTGCTTTCTACTGCCTTTTGAATTATTGCTAAACCTCACATTGTTTCTAGCATGAAATCTGTTGAATGCATCAAGTTATTTATAGTCCTATCAATCATTAATAAACTGTTCTCTATTCAAAATAAAAACGAAAATAGTGCATAAAATACTCATATTTATGTGGCATCTTTTAGAACTCTGGAATGTTTATAAGAAAACAAGCACCTCGTTGTTTGTGAATTATTCATCTTTCTTGTAAACTTGATGCACATGATTGCAGAACACGCACTTGAAATGGTGAGTTATAGCCCGATTGGTAGGTGGCAAAGCTAAGCAGCTATCTTATGTTGCAAACCATTCATTATTGAAAAATTGTAAGTTATAATAAGTAGAACCTGGTTACAGTAAATATTGGTTATGCCTTCCCTGATTTAACCACTTTGTTGGTTACTTTACTACCTACATAATGTCTTTACTGAAAAACATCTTAAAGTTGAGGAAACTGTTTTTTGGCAAGACTTCTTTGGTCCTGCTAAATGGACACTGTAAGACATAAAAAGTTAGCAAATACTAAATCCCATCCTGCCATTTTGATATGGACTTTGTTTTAAACACATCATGACTTTCTATTCTTTTGGGAGTAAATTTTCACTATGAAGCTTTCCCAGAGTGCTTTAGAGCCTTTTTGGCCTACGTCATTTTACGCAAACTTGTATTGGTCAGACTGCACTAGACATTCAACCTTCCATTCAGAGGTTAAAATTCTTCACTTTTACAAGTTGTGATAGAAGTGATTATAGGAATCTTATTCAGTTTCATAGTGGCTGTATTTCGGTTGGTTTAAAGACAGTCGCCTAACACCTATGCACAAATATATGATACCATTTACACAAATATAGTAAATTTTACTTACTCATAGTTTTTCGATAACACTTTCAGAAAATTATCTTCATGTAGATCAAGGTGTTTGGACTACTAATTTAATTCACAGTAACAGAAAACACGTAGAAATTGTTAACCTGATAAGTGCGATATTACTAGCTTGAATTCTACAACAAGTTCATTTCATTGTGACTTCAGCCACCAATAAGAGTTTACTTTACTATAACAATGTATCAATCAAATTCGCTCCAGATACTGAGATCAACAATCAATGAAATGAATACGTCAAATGAATTAGACTAAGCTCATATGTGGGAAGTATCCAAAAGTATTTAAGCTGTCGAGAACTTATATATATATATATATATATATATATATATATATATATATATATATATACTGTAAGTTATACACTAAATATATATTTTCATCAAAAAAGTAATAAGTGTGTGCACGCTGCAAGGTATACTTGAATATCGGCCTTAATACTAAATCATAAAATACTTAACATCTTAAACTGCTTTGAATCACGTATATCTTAATTCAGGTATAACTGAAAAATTATTGATGAGATTATCTGAGATAGCCATGGTTTGACAGGTTGGTGTTACTGATACTGGGTTATGAATGAGGGTGAAATGAAAAATTGGGACTGTGACCATCAACCGCCTGATTATCTGCTAGGTACTCTACAGGTGAGATGCGGGGTTCAGTTGCCATCAGAAACCTGGTTCTAAACCAGCCACAACCCAGGTTTTCATTTCATCTCCAGTTATCGCACAGGATTAATAATACCAATTTGTCACACTAACGCTATTTCATATAGTCTCATTATTATTCATATTGATATCACCCCCCTCCCCAGTTCAGCATAAAAGACCTGGCTGTGCAACCAGCGGGAAAACGATGAGGCGATAATTGAGCACTATGGATTCATAGATAACCTGACAAACAAGGGGAGTGAGAAGAGGTAAAACTAGGCAAGCAAATAGGTGTCACTTGGTGGAGCATCAAGTCTGTGACCCGGTAGCTATCAGTTTCAATCCTGCAGCAACTGTATTTTGCATCTCATCTTTAATCATCACCAAAAATTCTTCGACGGTTGTTTTCCCTTCGTTTTGAGGTCTTTTGGATGCTTTTCGGTTTGCAGTTAATAAAATTTGAGTTGTCGCCTAATAATAAATGAAACTACCATTTTATCTTTCGAAATAAGATGAAAACAGTTAGTCTTATTTATTTGGTAAAGAGGCCCTGATAAGCTCTCAACTGTCCATAAGAGATCTTAACTACGTCTAAAAGGCTTCATTCAACACGACACAGGGGTATGAAAAAAGACTGATCTTCAGATTTCGTCCATCCATTTTCACAAATATTCAATTGTGAAAGTTATGGTGAGATCTGCCTACCAAAATTAAATATTAGAGTTTGTAAGTTTGCGAATAGAAACCGGAAATTCTTAAAATATTTAAAAGAAAATGTCAAATACAGGCTTCAAATGAATTTCAATGGATCGTAACATTGTTTTAGAGGATAACCACGCTGAAAAATTCAGATCCTTGTGAACTTATTGGGTAACATCCTCAGAATGGTCAGGATGTGTTTCTCGATTTTGAAAGCCCATTTACGCTTCAAAATTAGTTTGCCCTGATACCCTATCAGATATCAAGAAGTGAAGTGGTTGGTCAGTTTACCTTCTTGATGAATGAAATCAGTGTTTATACTGTTGCATCAGATGATTGTGAAGCATCATCAGAAGATTAGGAGGATATACGAAGGCTCCAGGTGTTGAATTAGCCTTGCTTCGTCACCTTTGTTGAATGTAATAGAGCCGTTTCAGTTAAAAGGGAGTTCGACATAGAAGTGAAAGTGAAAGAAGTAAACCCGTCAGTGATGAATTATTTGAAAACCTTCAATGAATAAGAGGCTGGGACACATGTTACATATGTCCAGTTCTCTCTTATCTCATCATCTCAAGAATATTTCATCTTATCTTGTGAACTAACATTATGTTGAACTGCATTACTTTCCTTTTCGCATTCATCTTTTTGGCTTTTACTCCATCAACCAAGCTTGATGCTTGAATTCCTATTGCACCCAATGACAATAAGTAATATATTGCGTGCCTGGTTTTGAATATAAATGACAACAAAAACGATAATAATAATAATAACAAGCATTCCGAATCCCAAATAGGATGAAACGCGCTTTCTGGATTCTTCTACTAGCCACAGCCAACCAAACAAGCATTTAGGTTTAAATAAATAATGAACAAATTCCTGTAAAACGTATGAGTAGTTCAACAGTATTGAAAACACTTTTGATGAATATTTCGATGAATTCGCTACATACCTTGCTTTACTAGTCTCATTGATTGCGTTACCATTAATGTGATCGAAGTACAGATAGGTTCATAATGCGAAAATCTAAAAATGCATTAAGATAGTCATGTTGAATGTGTCGAGGTATCGAAAATATAACAGTGAATCCCCAACTACATGTCAGTAATGAATCAAAAATAAGTAAGTAAGTAATTATGCTAGACTCTCATCAGTATAGCTGTTAGTTTTAAGCTTCCTTTTTTCAAATGCTTGACTAACTTCCTTTCTAGTAAAAGCATGTCTCTGAACATATCATAGATAAATGGCTATCTGATATCAACACTTAATAGGAATCTGAACAACTATAAGTGGCATATTTACTCAAATGTACATGGAGACCGATATTATACTGTAAACTAGGCTATTTTTATTGCGTAACTAATGATTAAAATGATGATGATTTCAGTAGTGTCCACATGTCATTTTCTGAGATAGTGCTACTGACTGTTTTTAAAACGTTGCTAAGTTTCATCCTGGGGGCATGAAAACTAAAGCCTTTTGTACGTTTTACGCGTAAAGTTAGACGTAGAACTTAAGTCAAATATATGAGTGGTCTCTTATGAGACTATACTAAACTTTTAAATTAGGATTCAAGAAGTCATTAGTATTGCAGTCAGGGGTTTTACTGACTCGCTCGTGTTATATATATATACCTATATATCATGGATACTTGTTTGAACGACGTAACAGAGACTTATGTATTATTGCACGATGAAAACATATAACCTCAAATATTGGTAAAAGTATTAAAATTTTTCTACCCAAAGTAGTCACTACCATGTGTATGAATACAAGTGTTGCGTAATCACTTTTATCATGACAACTTAGTGGTATGAACAAAATGCACGGATTTCTTTTTGTATTTCATGTTTTAATGGCATTGATGAAAAACTGATATTACCTGCCACCTACTTATGATTAACTGTATTTCTCCTTTAGTGAAGCATCAAGTTACCCATCGTAAACTCTTCAGCTTAGGATTAATTTCTTTAATTCATGAAGTGTTCCAAGTAAATTTTTCCCTATATGTAATACAATGCTCTGTATGCAAATTTGAGTTAAACACTATTCACTGATTTACCTTGTTGGTAAATACAATCGTAAAACATGTTAATGTTTTCTTTTAAATCTGCAGAATTCGGTAGAACCTACCAGTTTGAAGTTGCTGCTTATAATGGAGTTGATCTTGGTCTTCCTGCTCAGCTGAATATCAGTACACCGGAAGACGGTGAGACTGCAAACTTTTTCATAGTTGTTGATTAAGGAAGAATAGTTTATATATATGTACATATATACATATATACTTTGTTTCTTCAAGTCATTTTTAATCTGTTTGTAATATTTTCTATCATTATATAAGAGGGAACAATCTAACCTTAAATTAATATTTTCTTAAACTGTAGTAAGACAATTCTACTAAGTCACATGAAAAGTGCTACATAGGTTGGCTGAGTTTTTGTTCCAGTGAGTGAATGTAACTAAAATCTTTTCACTTATCCCAAATACATGGTTAACCAGGTACTCAAAAATGTCTTGCGACGCAGTATAAAAGCTAAAACAATCCCTATTTTGTTAGCAGTTATAATAAAGCTGTTTTTATGCCTAAATAGCTTTCTGTTCTTTATGCTTGAACAAACCAACGTCTGTCTTTCTCCTTCTGCCTCGAATGCATATATTTATTCCAACACAAAAGGTGTACTGCTTTCAGCAGATAGTTTTCAGGTATAACAAACCTGTCACAAGTGTCCAGTATCTAGTGAAGTGGAAAGCGAAGTCACTTACTAATGCTTTCTTTCTTATTAGGAACGATGAGTCCTGTCAGTTATCACTAGACTTATGACTGCTAAAATGTGATCAAGTGATAGAATGTCTTTTCGTTCCTAACACAATAAATTCATTAAAAGATCCCTTGATTCTCTTATCAGGAGTTATTCACTATTAACCGTTAAGCAAACGATGTAAATGTGCAATTTTAACTGAATTGCAGAGTAAATTTAAAAGTGACCGTAGCATGAAGTTACTTTCAAAGTGAACGCTAATTTTTGCTAAGCATTGGAACTACATTGTGTTAGTGGTAGCCAGTCTTTGTTTTCACGTTCACCACACTGTTTTAATGAAATAAATTTTAATGAAATAACCATTTGAGAACTGTACCATTTTCTCCATATCGCCTACCCAGACATATCCTTGTGCATCGACTGCAGTTGAGTTAGTCAAAAAGCAGACTGACTGATTTATTGACTGACCACTGGAAAACAACCGGTTCCATGTTGTTTAGTTCAGAGTGCTAATCGAAATCCATCGACCATTTTGCAATGCAGACACCAAGCTAGGAGGCTTACAACTGCGATGCACTTTGCCTGACATAAGTTAACTGGAAGCAACTTACAGGAAGCCCAGGGTCGCATTGGTAAACGTCACTGACTACAACACTGGTTAACACGGGTTTGAATTTCAGAAAGGGACGTTAGTTACATGGAGGTTGTAGACACGCCTTGCTGACAAGTTTTGACAAGCACGAAACCCAGACCTAAGAGTGACCGATTATTTATAAACCTGATATATCATCATGTTTTCATTCGTAGATAGGGAAATGTATGTTCTTCGTATAAATAATGCGAATTGAGCATCTGACTTTGGACGAATTTTCGTTCTTCACCAATATTTATTGCAAACATTGCTACAAGCCTAGATATTTCCAAGATGTAATATCTATCAAAATACTCGTCGTAAAAAATAAGGATTTGGAAGGTCAATTGTTTTCAAAACCTAATTCACAAGAGCAACACGAGTTTGCTATCACTCTGCATAGGTCTATGTGATAAATAGTTCCAAAAAATAACACTGTTGAATTAGCTGAGTTCTCCAAAGTCTTCAAGTTATTTGGAGCAACAGTTTCTCATTGCTTTGCACAATGAAATAAAAACTTCTGGAATTATGTTAAAAGGGTGTAGCTGGATAACAGAAGTGAAGCGATATCATAGGTATTAAAAGTGACTTCAACTTCCTAGCATTCACAAATTCTGTGTAAACATTTTATTTTTGTGAATAAATTCATCTTCAAAGTAGATTTCAACAAGAGAATTTCTCTTGATTTATCAAGTTTTATTACTGTCCACATAATATTATCTTTTTACCTTCCTAAATAACTAAACTGAGCCTGTAATGATTGAAAAAACTAATTCTTCCCTTTTCATTTGCGTTCAACTTATAGTAAAACGTCAACTGACTAATGGTATACGTAGAGCAATTTGTTTAAATGCTCTTAACTACCGGATGCATCAAATTATCTATTACATTTATCGATTAGTTAATTATTCACGTAAAACAAGTAAATTGCTGGATTTGAATTGAGGTTTTAGGAAGTAAAACCAATATTGTCATGATCATTATAAAGTAGATCAAGTTTCTTACAATAAACGGAATGTTCAATCAGAAAGTTACTTTTTTCGTTGTATGATAGTAGATTTTTCGGTAAACAGTGTTTTCACTATAAAACTTCAACTTCAAACGACTCTCTTTAGAGATTCTTTTATATGAGGATGCTTTATATGGTCGAATGTTTTAGACAATGAAGACAGTCTGAAGTTGTTCCTCTTTAACATCCCTTTTTTGATGGAGGCACTGATTGAATTACTGTCAGTAGGAGACACAACGTTTCATTTCCTTCTTATCTACCATCAACAGCTCAACTTTGTAGGGTCTTAAAAATAACTCTTGCCATCAGCTTCTTTCAAGCATAACACTCGAAGCATAGCAAAATGTGCTTCTTGTTTTCCAATGCCACTTTCCAGTATCGAAAGTAAAAATAACGGTTGATCTCATACAACTATCGCTTCCTATTACTTCATGATACTATGCAGGTCTGTTAAAGGGTTGTGAGTGTTATGGAAAACGTCGTCACATCAGCCGGCAACCACTTCCACTTCCAAAGATCCGTACTAGGTGATGATTTAAGGTGAAATAAAAATTTGGACCGTGACCGAGTTCGAACCAGCAGCCACTGGGTTTCCCGCCCAATGCTCTACCAGCTGAGCTAAGAGGTCCGATTGCTGACCAGATTTTTATTTCACTTCAATCATCATGGGTTTTGCCCGACTACCATGTGAATTCATGACGCGTTACTACCACGTGATCACACTCATACTGGCTGCTCAGTCAGGACTTTTCATCCAAATCCAAATCTAACTGAATCAGAAAGGTGGAGCATCATATTGGTTATCATTTGACTATCTGAGATAGCAAATTTTCATTTTACCTTCGATCATAACCCAGTATTAATACTAGTCTTCCAAACTGCGGCTATCTCAAATAGTCAGATGGTATTCCAAAGATAGGTTATGCTTTCTTCATCTGAACATCTTGTTCAGAAACCACTGGAATTTTTTTAAAAAGGCCTAAGAGTGAATTTAAGTCTGTAATGTGACGAATATTTTACGACATTCAATTCATCAACAAGAAGGTAGTCGAATTTAACTTCATGAGTATCAAAAGCTGATCACTCGTACTCTAGTGTACTCAAAAAATTGATAGCATGAAAGTTTAAGTTAAAACATTTATTTGATATTTTATAAGCGTGATCACTGAATTCCTCAACTTCAGGCTGATCAAGTCATAAAATTGGAAATTAACTCTTTTTTATGTTGACTGATTTGCCTCTGTGGTATTAGAAGTTCATGAATAACAATTACATATCCGAAAACCATATTTCATACTTGGATTTGTTTTCAACTGATGAATATAGACTGGAGATAATGCACGTTTTCTCTTCATTGTAAACCGTTATCACAGCTATGCTCATAACAAATAACTAATAAGTCTAAGATAATTTAAGTTGACAAATGTATCCACTTTACTGCATATATCTCTATAATTTTAATGATGAATAGATATTATCATTTCGATACAATAATTTTCGATACATTAGAAATTTTTTAATTTTCGTTCCCTATTTAAGGGTATGAAAGCCGATCGATGGCTACTTACATTCAATTTTCAACGTAGCCGTGACGTTTAATTTTAATAAGACCTTCACTATAGAGCCAAAACAAGGAACAGAAATCAATTTGTATTTTCTTTTAGGTGAATCTAAAAAGTTTTGCAATGTATGTGTTTCTTATTATTATTAAATACAGTACCCGGAAGCTATTCACTACATGTTCGTGTCAAAGGTCTTTCAGCCACAGCCATCGAGGTCTCATGGACTCCACCTTCAAAACAAAAGTGGAATGAAGAAATTACAAGCTATCAGGTAATCATTTTAGCTAAATGAGGTTTCAATAATTCCATTTGTAATCGCTGATAAGCAAGATTTTGGATCATAGTACACTGAAATTAGCATCCACACATACTGAAATTAGTAATAAACCTTAAACACTGTTTCTGATTCAAAACTTTAAATCTTTCGGTCAGTCAGAAGTTCCAAACCATCATATCCTGAGACACAGGCATCATTATCTGATCCTCACAACTCTTATTCAAAGTTATGATGTTTTTCCCACTTCGTTTGAGAAGATCCAAAAGGAAAACAATTAAGACATTTCGGGATAAAACTAATCTTTCCACGGGAAGCGTATTTTACCCGGTAGACAGATGTCCAGAAAGCACCTAGTTGTTCAACTTCTCATGAATTTATTTGAAGCTACCCATATCACTTTCTCATATGAATTACCATCATGTGTTACAGTTGAATGTAATAACTGAGCACCTAGAGAGTTTATTGGAACAGATTTCAGAAAGTTGGGGTTAGCAACCAGCATGAAAAGACGATTTTGATAGTGTTTAACAAAAAAAAACTAAAATGTGCAACGTAAATCTTGTTTCATTTTGCAACAGTAGTTTGACAAAATGCATGGTGAGCATAACAAAATGATGTATATATTCCATATAAAGTTTCAGCACAACACCATTCAGCAACCACCTGAAATTTGAAGCTATCCGATCTTGGAATTACTGTCACTGCAATTGTACAGTTGCAGTTGATTATCAGGCAGTGTCGCTTTCTTTGTACAGAAAGGCTGGGACGACAATGGTCCAATGTTTTGTCACATGCGCTAATGATATTTTCAATTAATTCATTCTCAAAGGCAATAATACCGTATACAGTCAGCTGAGAAATTAAAGTGTGCAGTATTCATCTTAACGACTAGGAAAGGAACCCGGACGTGCGTTTCCTCCTATTTGGGACTCATCATGTGGATGCGCCTGCATTCAAGTGAATGCTGTTCGCACTGAGGCACTAACCAAGAACACATCTCTTCAAACCCCAAGGAGTTATAATCCGAGCACGATAGCCACCTCTTGTACAATGAATAGCAGTTATTGTTTGATACTTGTAATTTTTCGATGTTATACAGCGTAGAATGGCATGAACTTTTTGCGAAGATAGTCTTCTACCAAGATACGTAGATACTACCAGACATTCACAATGTTGTATTCAACTTGTTGACTAGTAAAGGCCGAGTAACTGAATGGATTTTCGTCGCACGAGAAGTGGTTATCATACCCAGTGGATAACCCCATGACGTTTGAAGCGATAGGATCTGTGTCATAGTCTCAGTGGAAACGTTACTCATTGGAGTTCAAGTACATCCAGCTGACCGGTCCCAAATAGGACGAGACGCCCTTCCCGGGTTCCACTCCTAGTCACCAGGATGGATGCAGCATCATGAATATCCAGGCAGTATCAAAGCATATGCATGAGAGCCCATCTGCCAACAGAGTTAAACAATTCAACCTCGTATAGCAACAAGAAACTGAATGAATAGAGTTTAGTCATGGCATGCATAACCCAGTGGGATAACCCTGCGACACACTGTGGGCAAACCTGGAATATATCCTGGTCATTTAGAGAAATTTATAGCAGAACACCACACTTTTTGAAAAACCCACTTCCTACACTTTTCTCTAATTAATGTGATTTTCCTTCTAATTTTATGATGCAACATTTTGAAAATAATCATATGAATTTACTATTGATAGTTTAAACTTGTTTTTCTAGCTCTGATTCTAACATCGAAAGCAGTCTTATTGTGTTCTATTTACTAAACTATTAAATGTCATTCAATCAGGTACGTTACTTTCAACCAAGTGCACCGAATGAAACTGAAGTTATTACAACGACCCAAGAACCAAGGTTACAAATTGAAAATCTTAAAGAACGTACATTCTATACCGTGTTGGTGAGGGCACTAACCAAAAATGGGCCGGGTCCATGGTCAGCAGCCAGCACAATTCGTACCACTGCAGAATGTAAATACAATTTTTATTATATTTTTCAGTATATTCTTTCAAATCCTATTTTCTATAGATAAAAATCCAAACCCATGAAATGTTTCTTGGATTTGTATATGTACACCTCTGGTATGAATGAAATGAATATCAGTTCAGTTCATAGTGAAAGGTTATGTGACAGTTTACTGTCGAGCGAGTTTCCAACTGACTTAGTTGTATTGGTTGTTGAAATCATCAAAGTTGGCTTTGATAAAGTTTACTAGGAAAATCCAGGTCAGTCAATTCGGAGTATTACGTAGTTTAGTCATCAGGAGACGTTAGTATTCATATTATTTTTAACTTTTAGCGTAAGTGTTTAATGTTCACTATTTCAAACATGATTGAAAGTTTGCATCAATTAACTGAATTATTGGTAATGTTGGTCCGAGTTCCATGCAGCACAGAACAGAACTTTCAGGTATTATTTAAGATATGATTATTTACTTAAACATTCGTTTGTTAGGTTGATATAACCAGAAGAAGGTTATAGGTATGAGCCGGACTACATATCACAAGCTGACTTAAGTCTAAAAAATTCCATTATCTGATTATCAAAATTACAAAACAACAATTTACTCTTATAGTGAAGGAACAGATTCATGCAAGAAAATATGCGTAATAAATTCATTCATGATAAAGAAACCGGTTTTTAGCCCACTTTTGTATATAGTTGAAGCTAAGTACAAGCAAGGAATCCTAAATTGTCTAGCCTGTGGATGGGAAAAAAGAAAGTTAACCCGATATTCAGCATTCCGGAAAAATTTGTGATGAATATGCCCTAGTAATTCGTGCATGTATTATTCATAATAGCACTGAAATAGCTAGTTTTAAACTCACTAGGACGCATTTATGACCTGTCACTATCTGAATATAATTTGTCATCTTAAAAAACAAATTGCTTTTTCATTAATGCATCGCTCTTCACACTTGTTGATTTCGTTACAAACTTGAAATATCTACTGTAGTGATATATTTTTTAATATCAAGTCAGAAACTCAAAACTGGTAGCCGTATCTATATTTTCTTCCTTTAAAACACCATCAACAGTATTATTATTCATAGTTCATCATTTCAGACTCTTTTTGTTGACTGTCCAAGGAGTAATGCATGAAGGAAGGAGATGAAGAGAGAAGTATAACAAAATTCAGAGAACATCTATCACAATAACGAGAAAAATATCGAAAAATATAAATAGGAGAATGAGATGCCAAATGCATAGAAGAAAATAAAAAGTAATAATTCAAAACTGAAAAGAGATGGAAAATATCAGTCAAAAGATTAACCCTTCCAGTGGAAAAATATTTATCAAAATAACTTTTTCTACTCTCTTCGAAAAAATGATTTTTTTCAAAATAGCTTACAAATTTGGCATTCTAAAAGAAAATAAGTTTCAACTTTTCATTTCTAAATTGGTTATCAGTGTGATTTATTACCTTCTACTGAGTGGACGAAAGGTGACTGTGAGAACAGCTTGACATTAATAAATTTAGTAAACCATTGTTACTGATTTGATAAGCTGTGGATAAAAGTGTTTTTCTAATCAAATATAAATATTTTAGGAAGATAAAACACCCGTCTCCATAAACTTAAAATCAACATCTTACATTATTTTGACACTACTAACATACGTCTTTTTATACGAGTATTCATCTGAGAACAGCTTTTTTTAACATTAAATAAAACTGGGAATAAGCTTCAAATACAAAATAAACTGTTCAATTATATGATATTTTGAGTATGCTGCACACTCTGTGTTCAAACAACCATCCTAAGTTTTTATACACCCAAATACTTAGAAAGTTCACAGTACACGACTACTTTTGAGCATTACATCTTGTCTGGTTGTAACTCAGTAGTTTTTAGTTGCTTTTTTACAGGTGAGACAATGTGAGGTTCAGTTATTAGTAATGCATCAAACTGTGCAGTCTACAGTCAACTAACTAAACAGTCCATCTTAGAACTATATTTAGAATTGTTACTGAAACACAGAATAAGTAGTTCCTCCGTAGTTTTATCAAAATTCGATGTCTGCAAAGAAACAGGTAGATCTGAACCGGAAAATAAGCATCAGAAATTCTGAAATACTTTCTGGCATACATATTAGGAAACGATACGATTTAATCGAATTTTTTTCATTCCATTCGCATAATAAACCATTCTGGTCATCATTCCAGAGTGAAATTTTACTCGATGACTATTTACTTTTGCTACAAATGTTTGCTAATTTTTATTACAGTGCCTGAACCTCCTTCACAAATTAATGGTCTACGCATAAATCCACGACAAATAAAAGTCACATGGAATACAATGCCTGTGGGCCCTATTACAAAACCTCAGGTACCAATAACTGGATTTCGGATATTTTACTCTACGAACGAAAATACACAAGACTTAAACACCTGGCAAGTTCTGGATGTAGGTCCTGTAACGATGGCTACATTAGACCTATTGGATCCACAAAAAGATTATGTTATAAGAATTAAGTCAAGAGGAGCTGATCGAAGACATGGGCGATTAAGTGAACCTATCCATGTTGGAACGTACAATCCAAATGAAATTGTTGGAATAGCCAAAGAAATTAATAATCTACCTGGATCTGGACCAGAAGATCTACAACGAATCAGTCATTTATCATGTGCTTGGATTCAGACACTTGAAACCGCCAAACCTGGAGAAGCAAGTCTCAAGATTTCATGGAGACGTCCTCATCAAACAGAAGGCCTCTATCAGTTTGAAGTAAGTTACAAACTTACGTGCTTATATGAAGATCATTTTGTTTCGTTTTCATACTGAAATTTTAATCTGGGGAATAAAGTATTATATCATTACCCACCTGTTTAGCTACACATCCTAATGTTTGGTTTTCGTTCAATATTATTGTATTCATGCGACAGAAGTCAAAATCCTGTCAATTTATCAGCATGACAGACAAAGATTTTAGTAGATGGCTATCATATATCTTCCATTTACAATTTGTTATTGTTCCATACTGGTGCAATCATGCAAACACATCTAACTTTTCGCCAGTTTCAGGCATAAGTATTAATAATCACGTAGGTAACAAAGTGAATCTATGTTTACTGTCTATACGACATTAAATTCATTGATTTCGTGATATATTTTTAAATGCTTTTTTTTCATTACTTTAATTTGGGTGAAAATAATTGGGTTTGTTCGTAGTAAACTGATAACTCGCAAAATGGATATCGGAAGTCATACTTCTTTCATGAAAGAGCTTCTTTCACAATGCACAAGAAAGCGCTTCATAGGCAGCCTAACGCTTTTGACACAAGAGCAGCACTGGTGTAAATCGTAAGTGGTACTTTTCTAGTAATTAGATTTTCAGAAAACAAGATAAGGAGATCAGATTCCTACTGGCATTAGGTGAATTATGTATTCATAATTTCAAATTGTATAGATGATGAAATGAACCTAGTCAAAACGTTAAACGGTATTTACACACCAGTTATCTTCACCATAAAGAATAACAAGGATAATATTGCATTTAGGTATCATTACAATGAGGAAACAACAGGAGAACAATGAGGTGGACCCCATAGTCAAAAGCTAGATTATTTGGTCAGTAAACTTGTTTTTGCAGCTATGTACTTTTAAGGCATAAATAAAATTTGTCAAATGTCTGTTTCATTAAGCTAAAATAACTGAATGAATAATAATTATAGAGGAAGTTCACAAAACTGCGATTCGATCAACAGAAATCAATATCCAGTGTTCTTATCAAAGCATAGCAATTCAACAATAACGAAAATGTAAGAAGTAGTAGCTTCCAGGAAGCCACTGTTTCCTGAACTGCAATTACTGATTTATCTTCTTAACAGAATTTGGAAAGAACGCTTGAGATGTTTTTAGAACAATCCATTCACTACAGGAAAGCCTTGTTTCTAATGATTTATGTGGCCAATGTATAGTTTGTGAAAATAGGACAGATAGCCTAAGTTCATCTTCTGTATGTACATATACCAATTTAACTGCTCCTGTGGAGCCACTTACAGTTAGCGTAAAATTGGTCAATTTTACTGTCACATTTCTGAGTAAATGGTTAACAACAGCGAAACAAACAAGAAACTCATGGTTGACAATGAACACCAAAGCAATGTAAATGAATCGTTTAAAGTTATTTATCGCATCACCTCGGATCATAACCATGCTGTAAGAATTCATCTGTTACATGAAACTCAGGCTTTTAGAATTCACGTGAACAAGCCAAAATTACGTGTTCAAATGAAGCTTGAATGGTGGCTGTTTTACTCTCATAAGCTTTAAAAAATTTCCATTTTCTCTTCTCAGCCTTTTAATTCTCTTCTTAAATGGTAATGATTATCCCTTAAAAACCAATGTCAACAAGTGGACACTCAATATTAGTATTCAGTCTTTTTATTTATTGTTATTATGCAAGTTAACTACTGAGTAGTAATCTACTTCAGCTTTCTCAATTTTGTTATTCACGATCACACTATTTCGTTTACTGTTCTTGAAATTTCACTAATCGATTATCACTGTCTTGATATCCACAACAACTAAGGTTTCTTAGCTTCTAAACTATTTACAATGCCAAATCGTTTTGATGTGTATTCCATGTTAAGAGAACTCATGTGTTATCGTGGAGCGGATGAGGAAGATGTAGAGGAGAACGTTTCCGTTTAACTTGTTGTTCTTATACTCCATAAGCTTTAGAACTTATAATTTCATGTAGGCTATTTAAATATGTTCTCTTACTTGATTACAGATTCAGCTACTCGGTTCAAAAACGTATACTGATGAACGTAATCATCCACATCGCATTTTGTATGAACCACGATCAGTTGAAGTTACAACGTCAATGCTAGAAGAATCTTCAAGTTCTGCTTTGAATACGAATGGTAATTACTTTTCGCCTACATCAGAAAACTCGCAGTATGAGTTAGTAATTGATGAACTAGAAGCAAATACAGTATATGATGTACAAATCAAACCTGTTTATACAAAATCTGACCAAAGTACGATCAATGGGATTCTGACTCCAGTTGGACGCACGAGTTGTAGGACACAGATGCTCCGTAAGTTAGTTTACTTTTCTTTTTTCCTTTTTTAATAACAACTACAGCACACAACTTAGAAAGCTATCAATAAGTGTCAGTCTGTGTACTTGACTCAACAAAACAAAAACGGTTTTCCCGGCTCTAGTTTGTTTGCTTTTTAACTGACAAAACGTTGAGGTTGGAAACATTTCCACCCGAATGAGTATTCTTTCTTCTTTCTGAAGTACTTATGACACTGGGTTTGTGACCAGCTGAATTATGGCAGAAACATGTAACGATGCAGCAGCGGAACTATACACATACGAAGTCAAAAAAGTAATGAAAACATACAACTGGAGAAATGAAATGCGGATTGTCGACACATACTGAAGTTGGTTACAGCTGTGGATCAACCTGAAAGTATTGTGTGAAGACAGTCCCATATGGATTGAACTCTTATTAAGCCAAAACTTGTGGATCACGTTTTAGTTAAGTTTCTAGACTTAAAAGTTTAACGTTTTACTGCTGACATTATGTCCATACAGTTAACTATGTAGAAATACCCTCTGACACCCAAAATGAATTATAGCGTCCTTTAAGTCAAAAGTTTATAAGCTGGAGAGAAACATTTCTTAGCCTTGCAGTTACATTGACGCTTAGTTGGCTGGTCGAAAAGAAATTCACCTTGAAACATTCTTCCATACTTGTCTTCTTATTTCCTTCGTTCTCTTTCTACTCCTCATTATTTTTTTAGCTCCACTTATCGTTCCTCGACCAATACCAGCTAAAGTAAGACCAGAAACAGGACAGGTAGTTATGAGAACATTCCGTGTCTCCGAAAGTCTTGGTCGTATAAGAAGATACTATTTGATCTTATATAAAGTGTCACCAGTAGATTCATCAAATTTAACTCCGAAATCAAAAGAATTTAACTGGCCACAAAAGGTGAGTAATGCCACGGTAATTTTATGCGGATTCTTTTATAACTGAAAGAAATAATATCTAGCCTCTAACACAGTGTACTTTAGCATCATGTGTTAATAGTGTTGTAACATGCTTACTCCGATTTTTTGGTTGGGTGAAACGTTTTCACATTTCTACAGTGATTTGTGAGCTGCTGTGTGATAAGCATAAATAAATTAGTAACGTCACTGAATTCTTGTATCTGAGTGCTTCACCACTAATAAATTATTCAAAGAATGTGATACAGTTAAAATCTAAGTCTGGTTTAAAAACTCGCTACTACTGTTCTCCACAGACTCTGTAATCAATAGGTGATATTTCAAATATTACAACTGATATAGGCAACTTGTATCAACAAACTGGTACCTTCTGAATTAGATAATCATTATAGATACCGTTTGACAAGATAATGAAATTTTCAATATTACAGCTACATAAATCAAACTGAGATGAATAGTAGCGCATTTATATATATATAATTCAGCTCTTCTAACTTCAACATACATGATTGCAAACTCGAATCAGAATCAAGTATTTTTGTTGTTGATTTAATGCTAACTGATTTTCCAAGTGACGTTTGTTTTTTATTCAAATGGAAACTGCTCCAAAGCATGAAGAAAATAAAGCGATTATAGTTTTCAAATGGGCAATACCGAAACTCAGTTTGCAATTTCAACGAAATTAGCCAGGTGTGCCCACATGAAACAAAATTATCTGTCGCTAGTTTCTTGATTAAATAAAAAACTAGACTCATTATTTTGATGACCCCAAAAAAAACCTACAAACGTCGTCGCAAATTTCAGTAAACTGTGCTGTCAAAACTTTGCTACAGTTCAAATATGCATTGAAAAAAAGTCACACATGCATCTTTCACTTAGCCAAGCACTGAGTTACTCATAGAAGATACTTCACATTTCACTGCGGCAAATTTAATCTACACAGCAGTTGACCGACTTGAGCGATATTATTATATTATATTATTTTTCCTTGGGTTCCTAGTGAAACATAGGACTTCAGTAGCACATCTCCATTCCACTCCCTTCTATGCAGTCTCATTAACCTGGCTCCACAAATGCCCAGAAGCTTTCATTTCTTCCTCACATCATCTCCTCCATGTCACCCTCATCTCGGACACCCAACTTGTCGTTCCCCTTTGGATTCCACTTGACGGCCTGGTGCATGATGTCCCCAGTTGGTCTTCTCAGTGTATGCCCAATCCATCTCCACCTTCTTCTTCTGCATATTTGTTGCCTGATAGGTTCTTGGTTGGTTCGTTCCAAAGGTTTCCTTGTTGCTTATTCTTTCTGGCCATCTGATTATCAGTATCAAGCGTAGGCAGCTGTTGATGAATGTCTGTAGTTTGTTGGAAGTGCTTTCGTGACGTGCCAAGTCTCTCAACTATCACATAGAAGCACTGACTTGACGGTAGAGTTGGAAGTCCGGATCTCCTTCTTTGTGTTGAGTGCAGTAGATCTCCACACTGATTTCAGATTAATGAAGGCCTGTCTTGTTGTCTTTCCGACCCTGGTTTTGACGTCCCCGTCTGTGCTTGTGCCGCCGCCTGCAGTTGAGACGACGCTGCCTAGTTAGGTGTAGGTGGAAGAGACTACTTCCTTCAGATTTCTCCCGTTCATGGTGATTGGTGCTTGTTGTTGATCGAGTCCTGTCTAGTGCTGATTGAAACTGACTGTCGAATTCCTCCTTCTCCTCTTGATCTGCATTATTTTTAGGTGCGAAGTGTAGCGTAGCATTGTGTGATTGTGACTTTGCTTCATTTTGAGTTGAATCTTGCTGTCATGATCCTGCATGAGAGCTTTCGGTGCTCTTGTGAGAGGGACTTCATGATAGCCACTCCAAAACTCAGTGTTCTGTGCTCGTGGTTGTCGTCTGGTTGACAATATCGGAGTAGATTATTGGTTCTGCAGTTGACAGTTGCGAGAGTCCACTTCCATTCCATCTGCTTTCGCAAATTCCTAACACTTCAATGCAATGCAATACCTTCTCATCTCCTTTGCAATCTGGGCAGCCTTGCTAGGTTCATACATGGTGTGGACATTCCATGTCCCCACGTTTACTTTCGCTCTCATCCAGAGAGGCGAAGACACATCGGCGAATTGGCTTCCCGAAGGCTTTCACCAACTGGCGTCATTTCGTCTCTCCTATTCCAGTGAGGAATAATTTTGTTTTTATCTATTATATTTTGTTTGTGCTTTGAAGTTTCTTTGGCGGTTGGATTTGTTTTACGAGCTAGGGTTGTTAGCCCTATGCCCAACCTTCCTTCTTCACCCTGGCTTAGGACCGGCTAGTAACTAGTGAACTAGTTAACCATGCGAGGTTGGCGAGTGATAAATTAGAGTCCATTTTAGGTTTTGTATCATATTTAGCATCGAGATGAGAAGTAATCTTCAAACATTTAATCATCAACCTAAAAGCTTTGCATCTCTTATGCTTGAATATCATCGAATTCGAATGAATGAGAGTAGCGTTAGATGAGAGAGTGGAGTCAAAGCAAAGTAATTCATACAATTCACAATTCAAAATGAAAATAATTGTCTTCATTTTAAAATAACATCTCCCGTTCATTAAGTATCACCATCTTATTCAATGTGCAAATGAATGAATCTTATGATAATATGCAGCAATTCAGTATCAATACTGGCAAGCTTTCTAACCACTTAAGTAATTGAAAATAAAAATTGATAAACAACCATATAGAAATTCACTCCCACCTATGTCAATCTTTAGAAGTCAATGAAGAAATAAAGCTAAGTAGTTTTGTAGCATCATGAGACAAAATCAACTGCGTCATTATTGTTATTATCACTGTTACCATTATTTTGTTTACTTGATCGTTTTAATGATGCACTTTACAAACTGAAGTTATATATATATATATATATATATATATATATATATATATATATATATATATATATATATATATATTCTTGTGCGCCTTGCGTGATAACCACTTTACGTGAGAGATACCGATAAGGGAGACACGTAAAAAAGAATATCTTAACTTCACGTAATAATCATGTGTCATATCTGAACAACATGAGACTTCTATGGAAAAACCATGCCATACGCACAATTCACTAAACGGACTTGAATAACTGACATGATACTCTGATAATTTAGTTACAAAATTCTGAATCAAATTCGATAAAATCCACCAACTTCCCTTAGTGGATTGCGTTTCTTTAATAGTACTGGTGATGGAATTAATTCAAGTGCTATCTATAAACTCACTAAAACAGAAGTAAATAGTTGAAATAAATGCCAGACACTGACTGGAATGTCGTCATAATAAACTAAGATGTAGCCATTAAGTTTAGAACGATCACTACAACTACTACCATTGCTCAGATCTAGTATTTTCTGTACCGTGCACAGGTGATCAAAACTGCATTTATAACAAAAATAAATTATGTGAAATTATACTAGTATACAACTTTGAATGTTATATCTCCACATTACCCTATTATATGGATGTTACATATTAGTGCTGTAGTAAGTGCTTTTTATCTTGTCAAATAAATTCATCAGTCCCCTCAGTATGATTATGGACACTAAAATATGGACATATCTTCATTAATTAAATCAGGATCTGCCAACAACTCATTAAAATAAGGGTTAAGTTATCAACTATAAAAAATTGTATTGAAAAGTCTTATATTCCTTTCAAGTTATTCATTTTTTCTTACACTTTGAAATATACATTCAACTTCGAAATTGTTTTGCCACGGTTAACAACTTACCATCCAGTGTATGCTTTAACACATATATCAACTTGTTTTTACAGTGAAATAGATAACAAACAAAACATCAAAAAGATATAATCATAGGTTCTTTCCACAGAAGTACTCATCAGTATATTGTGTCTGCACACTCAGTGAAGAACTGTGCTGCTTACTGCGTTCAGTTAAACTCTAATTTACACTAAACTAAACCAGTATATTACTGAATTCAACTTACTGTTTTGAATTGATGCGAATCATCAACTGAATTATGCCATTTCACGGAAGAGCTTTCACAGTTGATGAAGCGAATCATTAGTTATGTAGTTTATGCATACGAATATCATTTTCTTACTTTTCAAAGTAAATTTCATATTTCTAAAAAAATACTACACATTCTTTCAATACTTTTATTTAGTTTGCGCTAATTTTCTTCACTATTAGCTTCATGAAGCATCACAGTCCTGGGATCCAAATATCTTTATTGCTGCTGAATATAGCCAAGAAGCATTTATTGAACCACACCTTGAAGTGCTGTTAAATTTACCAACACCTACCGAAATCAAACGGCGTAAACGGATGACGGTGAATAAAATGAATATTTCCAGTAGTCAGGTTCACCAAATACAGTATGATAAACCATTGGCCTCCGAGAAGTTAACTACCCTCCCAGAAGTTTTAGTCTATGGTAGACAGCTGATAAAAAATCAAAAGTATAAAGTGAGTTTAATGATATAAATCTTACTTACCAGCGTGGTTACTGTTTTTAATAATATCGTAGGCTTTTAGACTTCTAATAAATATTTTGTGCCCACAAGCAAGACGTGACGAAACATTATTGTATATTCGCTTTTATTGCAGACTGAAAATGTTCATGTTATCATTAGTTAAAAAGGATTTATATATTTTACTGAAAAAGCTGTCGCATACCCAGTAAAACGTCCAGAAAAACTTTGTTCTGAATTTCAAAGCACTCTGAGGTTAGATTAAAATTTATTCATATAACGGTTTTATGCTCAGTTATGAAACTACTGTGGACTAGTTAAAACTGTGGTATCCACAACCCACACCTGTCACTAATGGTTACTTATTTACTGCAGATCAACCTCTTAAACTAAAACTAAATATTCTCTTTTAGTTAGAAAAGAATAAATACAATCAAAAAAATTCGTTTTCAGCGAATTCATCTTCTGCAGCTGTAGAGTTGCATTTAAATTTAGTAAGTGTACATAAAAATGTCAGTATTTGTTAATCAACAGTTGTTAGTTGTTTGTGGTCGTGAAAATGATATGGGAATGGAAATTACGCAACAGGTATAAACTGGAAAGTATAACAATTAAAAAGTGAATAAGGAGAGGGAATGTAAAAGTTGCTTCTAGATATACATTTCTTGTTTCAGTTGCTGTATTGCCAAACTTCAGTAATGGACGGTAAATGTATTCTCAAACCACTTAAAAGATTATGTTCCATTTCATAGACTACTGTAAACGAACCTTCTAGAATTGTGAACCCACTGCCAACCATATATAATAGGGAACATTAATTTATTTACGTCGGTCTTTACTGAACAATACTGGAAGGTATTGATGATAACGCTGAACAACCTACCCCTGTGCCCAGGAACAGATGAATTAATATGTACATACTGAAGTGACTATCTGTGATATTTTATCCTTCGCATAAGTGTCTGCCATTGATTAACTAGTGTAAGTGGTTTAAAGATTGGTTGTATACGATGTTCTTTTGACAATCTTCATTATTGTGCTTTGAATTACTTCATCTGCTGCATCTGCATTGAATTCCAAGCTCAGTTATCTTTATCTTCTCTACGTTGATAGGAGCCAGATAAATAACATTCCTATAAGAATTTTCTCCCCTGGATCTCTGTGGGTATCTATTTGCGATAATTTTACCTTTTAAAGTGTCCGGAGTACAAATCTTTCTAAATGAGTAGGAAGGGGAACAAATCGAATTTCCTTTCCGGCTGTTGGGGTCCCAGCAATAAAGGTTTGTCATTCAACCATTCCATGAAGTTTTTAGGGAGTTGTAGAGATTTGTAAATATTTCAGGTTAATATTCATCGTAGACTGACATCAGTTAGAGGAACAAAGGAAACCTGGAGCACTGGACACCTGTTTCGTCCTGATGTCAGTCTAAGATGAATAACAACTTGAAAAATTCCATGAAGGTTTTCAATGAATGAATCTTTTAAACGTCCTATCACTTCTTCATGTCAAAAGTACACCGAAGAGTGGTATCTTTGGATGTGGTTTAGTTCCCATTCTAAAGTAGATGAAGAAGTGGCATTCACTGAAAAATTGAACCACTACATTCTACAAGTCACAATTCTTGTCTCATGAGTGTCTCATTTAGATATCACCTGAAGAGATTAAACTGTCTTCTAGGTAGACCGAGTATGGTTGTTTTCAGTCTCGTAACAAATATACTGGCTAACAATGGACCGACTAAACACGTTAATAAGATATAACGTTTAAAAACCTTTTGTATTCAGTTTTTGTTACACTGACATAAAAAAAAATTTATAATAATAGTCCACAAAGATACTCACAAAGCGACAAAGATTTCACCAGACACTAGGACACACTAAAAATCACATCAACTTCATCTCAATGTGAAGAAAGTGGAGACGCAGCCCACTGAACACAAGATCAGATGAAGAAGGGGAGCAGATGTAGGTGGTTCACACCACTCACTATCTAGTGCAAGGAACCTACCTTCCAAATCAAGTTGAAGCATATCACAGAAGTTGGTGACAGACAGATCACAGTTCAAGTTCAACAACCACACAGAACAGAAACTGAACTGACGGACGAAACTAATGAGGACATCTTCATGTCAGTCAGTCAGTCATCAGGAAAAAATGAGAGAAATTAGGCAACATCCATGAAGAAAACTGCGTGGAAGGACACTGGAACCCTTTGAAAGAGACGTGGAAGGAAACCTGCATAACCGTGTCAGGAAGGAAGAAGAAGCAAGACAAGACAAGGAATGGATCTCCACGGACACATGGAAGCTGATAGAGCAGGGAGAGGAAGATGGCGAGGTAGAAGATGAACCAGTGCAATGTAGTGCAGTGCAAGGAACTGAACACAACCTACAAAACACTCACTACACTGGACAAAGAAGTGAAGAAGAGTGCGCGCAAAGACTAGAGACACTTCTACAACACACTGGCAATTGAAGCAGAACAGGCTGCTGGTAGCAGAGACAGAGACCTGACAACAACATATCAAATAACCAGGTTACTATCTGGGAGGGAAGAGATCAACGCAGATGAAACCAATGACAGATAGTGAAGGAAAACTAGTTACCAAAAAGGAGCAACAAAGGCAACAATGAGCTGACCACTTCAAAAAACTCTTGAATCAACCAACACCTGCAACTCGTCCAGAAATACCACCAGCAGTCCAGCCACAGAACTATCAGTGAACACAAAACCTCCAACAAAAGCAGAAGTGAGTGCCATAAAGTTGCTGAAATCCAGGGAAGCACCACGGCCAGATGGAATTCCTCCAAACGCAGAGACAACAGCAGACATGCTCACACCACACCAATACTGCAGGAGGTTTGCAAGGAAGGCAGGAAAGGTACCTGCCTGCCGATTGATGGGAAGAAGAGCTACCTTGTCACACTTCCAAAGAAGGGCGACCTACGCCTTTGCAAGAACTGGTGAGGATTCATGCTCCACCACCTGTCCAACCCAAGCAAAATATTAAGCCACATCATCCTGCTGAGACTTACAAATGCGCTGGATTCAAAATTACGATCGGAACGGGCTGGCTGGTTGGCCACGGGAAGAACAAATCATGTGCGGATCAAATTTCACTGCAACGCTACACTGCACATCATCATAGAACAGAGCATAGAAAGGCAGTCAACTCAACTCTACCTCAACTTCATCGATTTTGAAAAGGCCTTCGACAGCGTGACCCAGAAGTAATTTGGCAGGCAACTGCTTCAACACTACGGTTTTAGTGCCACAAACCTTTATCAACCTCATTCAATACCAGCTATATGCTATGCTGTGCTATGCTATGCTACGCTATATGATGCTAAGTGCCAAGTGATTCACAATGGAAAGCTCAGTGACGCCTTTGAAGTGAAGACAGGAAGGAGTAAGACAAGGCTGTCGCCTACTATCATCGATCATCTTCCTGATTGTGGTCCACTGGACTGGACTGGATCATGCAACAAACTGTGAGGAGCGAGAAGAGGGGCATACGCTGGCTGGACCGGTGAAAAGACCCTGGAAGATATGGATTTCCTCGACGATGATGATTCACGTCTAATGTCTTGTCACATAAACTCGAAGACCTACAGGCGAAAACTAACAAGTTGGCAGAAGAGGCGAGGCGAGGTGAGGCAGCGAAGATGGGACTTCCTTCAGGTGAACGTAGAGAAGACAGAGGTAGTGGAGATATTCAACCAACAAAAACAGCAACAACAAGCGCCAATCACCATGAACGGGAGAAATCTAAAGGAAGCAGTCTCTTCCATCTACACCTAACTAGGCAGCATCGTCTCAACTACAGGTGGCGGCACAAGCACAGACGGGGACGTCAAAACCAGGGTCGGAAAGACAACAAGACAGGCCTTCATTAATCTGAAATCAGTGTGGAGATCTACTGCACTCCACTACACTCCACTCAGCATGAAGCGTGAACAAGATCCGGATTTTCAACACCAATGGCAGTCAAGTCAGTATTTATAAGTGGTGGTTGACAGACTTGGTGCGTTACGAAAAGCATTTCCAACAAACTACAGACATACATCACATCACATCAACAGCTGCCGCCTACGCTCACTCGATACTGAATATCGATCAGATAGCCAGAATAATAAGAATAAGCAACAACGAACTCACTCTGGCCGGTCAACGAACCAACCAAGAAGCTATCGCCCAACAATATGCAGAAGAAGAAAGTGGAGATGGATTGGGCATGCACTAACTGACTGACTAATTGTAATTAGGGCACAAGGATTCCTACTGATTGATGATTAACATCAAATTAAGTAAATCACAATGTAACTTTACTTATTCATCTCATTGATTTGTGAACTAGTTCGACAGATCACATTTGAAAAGCTCTCACTTAATTTGCAGATGCTATCAAGAGCACTAACTTCATATTCTAGTATTGTCTAAATAATGCAGAAATCTTAGCTGATTTTATTGTAATAAACTGTATGCAGTTTATATTCTAAATTAAAGTTTTTTGAACGGTGTGAAATATAAAAACTAAAAAGCATTTTGATTGATGTTAAGCCTTAGAGGCAATACATTTCAAAACTGTTGAATAAGAAACGGAAGCGGAAAAAACAAATCTTAGTAACTTTTGAAATCACAGCTTCATTTTCCGGTGAAATTTAATCAAGGCTGATAAATACATCAAATCATTTCAAACTGTAGACGAGAAGTATTCTCCTTTATAAAATGTCTTTTACCAGGTAAACATATAAAGGTGGAATGAATACAGGAAGTCCTGATTAAAATCTAAGTAAATGCGTTTTGAAAGTTTGTTATACTGCGCCATAATATTTCGTCGACGTGCCACTACACCATACAACACTGAACACTACTTGTCTTTTCTCTGCTGACTCCATATTCTGATTAGTAAAAACAACTGTGTTTACTGCCTAAACCTTAGAGAACTTTATCCACAGATAGAGGACTGACTTCAGACAATGTAAGTAAACTGATTATGAATAGGATATGAACAACAGTTAATTAAAACCTAACTTACACATTATAGTCTAAAAAGAATGTGTGGTTCTACTAAAAAATTGGTAATTAAGTTCATTTCTGCAACCCTGATAAATTCTTAAGGAATATTGAAAATACATACTTAAAACTGAGAATTTCTGTGATTTTCTTCTGTTCCTACGAAGTTTGAGAAAAAAGTCTTTGCATTCAAAAGCAGCTCTTTTGATCATGATAAATAAATCGCATTGCTGTTTGTATCAGAAAGTTACGTGATTTATGTTAGAAGAGAAAAAGGACTATTTATTGGTATTCTGATCAACATCCTTTCAACAGAAAATGAGGTGCAAAAGTGATTTTATCATGTTCTCTGTTCTTCTTGGTACAACATGTAAATATTGAAATTGGCTAGAAAAGTCTACATTCTATAGTTATTCTCAAATGTTTGTTATCTAATAAAATATTAACAGTCATTTACTACTTTATTTTGTAAACTTATTGAATATGGAAAGTAAGTATCAGTTCTTGATCCAGTAGTTGAATTTACGTGTGGTTGTCACGACGCCTAAGTAGAAAACATCTCTTAAAAGTTGCTTTAAATCATTTTTCAGTTTAATTTTGTATCTAAATCCCCCTCAGCTGTAGAAAGATATCATCTTTTATTGTAAGGGTGAATATTGGGTAGTGGGGTAGAGTGTAATCCTATATCAGATTGCCTGTTTGATATTCCACACACACAGTAATTATAGTAGCGATTATTTCAGAGGGAACTGAAATAGTCTATAATGCTGTTATATAAAGAAGGTCTATCAAACATTCCACATTGCCGTCTTAATAATCCTGGCATTAGAATGTTACTCAGATTAAAAAAACTCAGTCAGAGAGAAGAGTTGTAAGTTATAATATCCAGTTAGTTCAAATGAGTAAAATAACCTTATCAGTACGATACTATTAGATGATCGTGGAGTCAAGTCAGTTAAAGTGGGTAATTAGAGTCAGTTAGCGAGGAAGAGCACAAAAATCGAGCGCCACAGAGAATGAAAGACCCTATAAAGGTGATTTGGAGAAACCTGACAATTGCTTGGCATGCACTGCTCATAGTCACACTTTCAGGTTGAATAGGTTGCCATTTCTAAGATCGAGTATGACTAGGTAGAGAGATAGATTGATTACAGAATCTTTGTTCATTGAATCAATGCATAACTCATGTAAGAGGGATGATTCATCCCATGTTACAGATGTCTCAAACTTTTTACTGTCATTAAAATGAAAGAACGCAGAACTTTTGGAATCTTCGGTACGATTATGAGCAATAAATTCTTCGTGGAACATCATTCAGTAAGTAATACTCTTTCACTGTGTAATAATCAAATAAGTGACAACATGCAAGTACTATTTTGTTTATTGTTCACTGATACTTGTAATTTCCCGTTGCTGCTCAACCTCTGTTGGCAGATTGGCTCCTATGCAGATGTCTTGATACTGCCAGATATTTGCGATGTTGTAATCTATTTAGTGGTTACCACTCGAATTCAGGACGCGCGTTTTGTCCTGTTTGGGACTCCTCAGCTACAGTTATCTGCACACCACTGAGTGATTTTGTTCTCACTCGAACCTTAGCATCTATCGCTTCAAGCGCCAAAGCTTAGTACACTAAGCCTCTGAAACATGTGAGCCACCGTGTTGTAGTTTAAGTGGACAACATCACTCACTGGAGTACAGGCACGTCCAGCTGATGAGCCCCAAATAGTACGAAAAGCATGTCCTGAATTTTAATCCTAGCCACCAAATAGAATACAACATCACACCAACTACAACTGGAACATCATAACGTAGAACGAGTTGTCGGCAACATTGATCGCAGTCATTATGTGACATTAGATTGTTTTTGACAACGCTGAATCCCATAAAAATAATAATCAGTGAATAACCAATTAGTATATCGGTTTATGGTGTACTCGCCAAAATGTTTCGAAATTGAAGTTATTAGTGTAGCATAAATTACCAGTGCCCAGTGTTTATGTGTAACTAACGTCATTGTCTAGCTATAATTATAGGACTTTAGTGTCATTAGACCGTTGTCACTGGAATCAAAATTCTCATTTGCTTCCACTACACGTGTTGTACATTGGGCTGTGGTAAAAACTATAGAAAATAATTTTTTGGTACTTCTTGTAAAAAGTTGGTTCAGTAGCAGATTTATCAATACCTCTTACTGAATTTTCGTCTGAAAAAAATATTCGAAATTTAACCGCCCTTCACCTAGTCCAGCTTTCTTATCGGCTTTCATACCATTGTCTACATTGAGTGTCTTCATAAATGCTAAACTTAAAAATAGCAAACATTACTTTAAGCAGTTCAGTCGTTTAAAAATTATGTTTTTTAGTGATTAAGTCAATAACTATATTGTTCAGATAAGATGTTATATAATACTGACTAATAATACCTTGTGATAGTGGACGCTACTTACAGATTGTAGTGAATCGGCAGTATAACTATAACGTGTCTACAATATACAGAACGTTTGACTGTTCCAGACAAGTTATCTGTGAATTAGTAGGTATGTCATCACCGATTAATCCATGGAATGGTGACAAAAGCGGCTATTACTTACGCTTGATTAAGGCTTCGTCAAGAGTCATCACATTCATAGCTTAGTGATGTGGGAAATCATTTTTTCATTATTTTACCTACAGTTTATATGCAGATGGTGGGTTACACTGCCTTAATACTAAGGTGACTGCACATATCTTAACAATTTTAGCCTATTTGCCACTTCAAATAATTTGCTGAGTTTTATGTCCTGATGTCATTGTAATGCTGAATTTGAGACAACTAACTCAAACATATGTGGTATATCAAAACCTTCAAAATTGATTATTATCACAATAATATTATGTTTTATGTAAATAATTATACTATTCTTTTTCTTTAAAGGAATGAATTGCGTAAATGATATTATTAGTTATTTTATTCTACTGATGCTCATTGCTCTTTTGTAAAAAAAGACTCGTTTGAAGAGGAAAAATGAATTGCTTTGCACTTGATCAACAGATAAACATTTTTCAAGACGTAAACTGTCATCCCTACTTGAGTGTATATAAATCCTAAGGAAATTCCAGTTGTGGCGGATTCATATGTGTTAGTATTTCGCACAAGCAAAGATGAAAGTAAATTGGAATATTTTGACTGGTTCCCCTCCTTTTTACAATCTAAAGATATCGTATTCAACTGAAATGTGTTTATCTTACTGCAGCTGCATAAGATGTGGTAGCGCTAACGTATCTGTTTGTTACTAGTAAACTATCGTAAAGTTTAAATTAAATTAGTGAATCAAATAAACTCTAGCATCTACAATGCTTATTTTCTAGCATTAGGCATACTCATAATATTCGGAGGTATCCTGTAGGCGACGATGTGAAAAACAATAGTAAAAGTTCAATAAAATGACTATACTAACAAGAGTAAATAGTTACTCACACCAAATGGAGATGAGCTGCCTTGAAACCCGATGGTCCTTTGCTCGATGCTTCAAAAAGTCGTAAGTGCTTACTGCTGAAACTTTCTAGGTTGAGAAGAAATAAATATCCAGTGCTTCTAAGTCGTTAGTACTTCTCTAGATGTAGCCAAACATTGACAAAAAATAACTTACTTTTTGATATTTCGCTATTTAGAAAACACCTGAAACAAAATCCTTCTACAGGATGAAAACTGCACACAAACTAAAATAGAAATCGTAAAACTGAAATTGCAGTTCTAGACATCTGGATGAAAATCACTGAATAAAAGTGCAGACCATAACCTTGTTTGATGAAACCTATCTAAACGACATATTTCCATATGCAACTTATATTGAGTAAATCCATGAAGTGTGATTTAGTGAACAATTTCTATCGCTTCAGGTTATCACGTTTCCCATCTAGGAAAATACTGGTGGAGGGGTTAGCTTGAGGAATCAATGAATACAAGCGTTTACTAAAACACAGACAAAAACAATTCATTCACGTGAAGAAAATTAAGTTAGATCTTTGAAATGTTTTCACGACGTATCTTTGACTGTAATAACCATTTTTTCAGTAATTCAGTAGACTAACTGATCTTATTTAATAAGTGACTATGACTGTTAGCTAGAGAGAAGGTAAAATGTATGACTTAATTTGTTACTGAAGTTCCCAGTATGGCCTTTTCGCCCGCAAAAAGTACAAATTTTAGTAAAATATTTTTGTTATATTTTACTTTCTCACATTTTAGGCATTTGTCTTAGCCTGTATCTATCCAAATATGCTACCTCTAGGTGGGAACACAAATGTTATTTCCTCTGGATCAAGTGCACTATTAGACTCTCATTTATACAGTAGGGAACAGACATTAGAAGATGAGGAGAATCTCTCCATAGATCTATGTACACCAAGTTTATGGTCAGTCAACTTTCAACCCGACCAGGCTATTGCATATACTGATACACAAATTGGCGATATGTATGCCAGTGAAGTAAATGAAAGTGATATCAGTCAAACCAGTGCCATGAAAATATCAAATTCCGACTCGTCAAATGAATTCTTTGCTAAACTTGCTGGTAGCGCGAATTTTTTCACCATAACACTTATTGTGGTCATCGCAGGCCTTAGTATAATTGCTACAATTTGCACTGCTATTGGATGCTTTATGAGGTTAGTGAATGAACAACTAGCTTTTTCCAACTGATTAATTTCGAAACAATGTAATGTAAAGAAACGTTTTCATCAGTTGGCATTTATTTCCTTGTCAAAAATGAATTACGTGACTTTTTTTAAGACCAACGTTGTGTTGTTTTTTTATGTACACATGATAGTCATAAAAATTTCAAAAGATGTCATTTTTCATCAGTCTAAATGAATTTTGAATACCACAGTTTACCATAATATGCTAAAATAACTATCAATGTATTTGTCATAAGAAGAACAGTAAAAGATTATGTGAAAACTGAAGCTAACCGAAAAAGCCAGTTTCGACTAAGGACAACTGCTTTTCCAGTTTTTTTGTCAAATGATGAAATGTTTGACCAGTTAAATTTAATAAAAAATCAAATGTCATGAGGATGCAGACAACATTTTACAAAAATTGAAAACAACTATAAGATAGCCCGGAGTGATTAAGTGATAGGAAAAGCTACAAAACATTTGCGAGACATTAAATTAGATTTTGCCTATTAAGTGGCAGCCCTAAACTTATCAACCAGGTACATCATAAAACTGACGTTGCATATTCTCACTTGGGTTTCCCGTATTACATCGACCAACATTCCTTGACCAGCAGCATTATTATTTATCATCAAATCTAGGTAAACAGGGTGATGTAAATATATCAATTTTGGAGAAGTAGAACAAAGTAATCCTTCATTTTCTGCAGCACAAACGGTGACCAGAACACTCCTCATAAGCAAACTGTTAAAAGCCATCTTATCCAAACATACTGTATCTAACTCATTAAATTTTCAATATGTACACCACTTCAGAAACTACTCTACACTAAAAGTGCGTCTTTCATAACAAGGAATAGATTGTCGTTGTGACTAATTGATGGGCAACCTATGATGCATAGGTTAATTCTAGTCAAGTTGCATTTCTTGAATTTACAGTACAGAATATAGCTCAGGATGTCCTGGAAAACCACAGTTTTTCCATACTAAAAAGTAGATTTATTCGACAGTTTTCAAAACATCTAGTTTTAATTTGATTCAAGGCTTACTGCACATTGAATGTAATAGGCTAAATTGTTAGTTAAACATAATCTGCCAAATACGTCACATTTGATGGCTGTAGTGAGGATTAAAGGTATGAACAGTGTTCTAGTAAACGAAAAGTAAGCAATCAGTGTGCATTTTTCTATATGTGCTAGTGAAAACAAGCAGTTAAGGATTTATAGAGATAGTCTCACTGTTTGTTCAAAGTGCTTAAAATGGAGCTATATAAAATGTCGTTTTCCAGTCTAATTTCTACCCCAAAAGCACTACTACTGCTGTTGCGCTTATATGGACCATAATCAGGACCTATTTTGGGTTTACTGAAAAAGCTCAGCATGTGGAGTTACGTGCTCTTCGGTCCAATACTCTATGATCAGGCAGACGGCATAATATTAAGGTGCTATGCATAACTGATTAAAAGATGTGACAGCATAGAAAAGTAGTTAACGATATTCTGTCAACCAAATATATTTGCTCAAACAATAAATGTTAATGACCGGTATAATTATCCCTAAATATCAGTTAAAATTGTGGTGTACTGAGTCAGTGCTTCATACAACTACAAAGTAACTTTATAATATATTCCTGCAAAATGTAACGTTACGGAAAACAAATACAATTCATTGCAAAAAATATTTATAAAAGTGAAAGAAAAACAGTTTCCCGCTCATTACTGTTGATTTAACATCAAAATATATAAAATTGTATTTTCATTTTTACAGAAGACGACGAACGAAACCCAATGATAATGAAATGTCGATAACTTTAACTCCATCAGATGGCATGTTAAAAACACCTCTAATGCCGCAATCAGTTCAGAACTTTTCAGGTACTAACGGTGCTGTTGAACGTGAACAAATGGATCCTGAAACACCAGGTGAGAGTTCCTTTTCTTTTGTTTTTGAAGAGCACTCGCTTATAAACAAAAATTGTTTGTACCAAGGTCATCCATTTCATGTACAAATAAGAAGCAATTTTTTAATGAACATCTGACAATTTAATATGACAGTCCAGCTTTTGGAAATGAATCATTAAAAAGTTCCTTTTTGCCTAACTATTTGATTGGCAAATTTACGGTATACACTTATGCAAAATTTGATATGTTACCTGAAAAGTTCTTTAATTTAACTGTGTAATTAGTGAGCATTTACACACTTTTGAGTGGTGAATTCAATAGTTCTAAGAAGAGGGGGATTCAAATATTGTTTCGTAACTTGTTTCTCTAGTTATACATTAGTCAGTGATGACACACCCTTAAAACACATTGGAATGCCAAATTTTCAGTATCGTTCCAAAGATTCTCTTCACAGAAACGTGTTTCATGATACTCATATTCTCACTGATTCTCCAACAGTGAAACCCAGGGAATTAACTATTGAAATATTTATCTAACTTTTGGCAAGTTATCAAATATTTTCAGGAAGATATCTCAGAAGATTACGCCAAATCTGAAGAAACTCAGCCTATCAGAATTTGCCTGATATATATATATATATATATATATGCCACACTGCTAAACCTAATGACTAAAAACTGTTGCACTCACTATATCCAGGTAGCTGGTGACCTCACTATTTCAAGGACGAGTGTCTCTTAAAGGTTTACTATAAATATGAATATCGACTAACTTTTCTGGCTAGTGTTGTGTTGCGAATTTTGTGGTACTAATTTTGTTTGGTATAAAGTATGCAACTCTGTAAAAGTAGCTATTTATCCTTTTCACCACTTTAAGATGACTTGTTTATGAGTACTACATTCTCTTTGTATAGAAAATATGAAATAAACATGACATATAAGCCTCTATTATTATGCAGTTTTATGGGTCATTTCTGCGAACTATACATACATCAGCCAGAAAACAGTTTGTGTCAAACAAATTGAGATTCATGTTCAGTCGTGATGAAACGTGCAAGTAATGTCTAAGTTCTGTGTGCCTGGGGATGATTATTGTCTATCGTAAGTAGGACATGACTCTAAAGTAGTCTCTTTTTTAAGTCTTTGTCATAGTGCTTAACTTTCCTATCACTCGTCCACTGGAATAATCAAAAGTTGGTACACCTCTATCAAAAAGTGTCTGTATGAATTACGACATTGTGAAAAACAGTAGTAAGGGTCCAGTAAAATTACTATACTAATAAGAGTAAGTAACTACCCATACTAAACGAAGATGATCTACCTTGAAACCTGAAATCAAGTATTGGAATAAATCAAAACAGTCTATGCAAAATTGATTTCAGTGTCACTGAGTTTTTCATTTACGTAGTTAACTTCATTTTACCAGTCTTCTCTTTTACCAGTTCTCCAGCAGGCTATATTTCCTTTTTTTAACTTCTTTTGAAGAAGTAATTAGTTTCATTCAACGGGATTCCAGGTTGTTGCTTTTTCATACTCCTGGGGTAAACTATGACATCTAAAATAAAATTCAAAAAACGTACAAGAGAACTGTTCTTCTGCAAACTGAATACCCTAGAGAAATTTTCTAAACTGTAATTATCTATTTCCGATGAAAGTAACGAATAAATGTCACTACTATTGTGACACTAAAGTCAGTTGTTAATACGTTCTCGGGACGGAAATTTTTCGTTCTGCTTTTGCTGAATCTATAAGAACGAACCGTGAGATAAAACAAGTAATACTACGAGTAATACTACTGCCAATTACGGTGAAAATCAATGAAGCTTTAACATTCACATCTGAATATTTGACACCCATAAAAAGCTGAGACTATCTGAATTCTATCGTATAATTTGAAAAGTACCTAACGAAATTTTACGTCTTATTATTTCTAGTTTGATGTGTTTTTCGTATGCTATTCCAACTAATAAACTGTATAGTAAGTGCTTCGAATTTCCGTCAAGAATTCTTTGGTAAGGGTTATTTTCCCTCACCATCCTTGTCTGTTAATGTCGTTGAATTAAAAGCCGAAGAGACCATAATTGTGTGACGTCAGAAAGGAAATGCAGTACCTGAATCAATAAGAAAAATTACAGTCCTTTGACTTTTCTAAAATACAGGTCATTAAGTTTAGAGAAAGCTAGATCAAACTAAGAAAACTGAACAGTGTAAAAACACTTTAGGAAAATAAGGAAATAGTATGCTATAAAATACCTTATGAACCATTTCATAAATTTGCTGCTCTGAATAATATTTCTTAGAAATTATGCTACAAGAAACCTTTCGAACAAATAAACTAGTAATACTTTAGAAAATACTGAAAAACTTAGTCTTTATTTTATCCAAGTTATCGTCTTAACAAGTGTAAAAAGACTAGTGAAACTTTGCATAAGAAGTAAGTTCAGCCGTAACAAGTGGCGTATTTATTTTTAAAGATGGAAGCTTTTATTATTTGACACCACTTGGATGCTTATTATGGGACACAAACCATACAGTGAAGTTCCAATAGCTCCACGTCTTCGTGCACTATAAAATTCTGATCTCTTGAAATCGGAAGCATGAACTACTAGTTTTGCTGATAACTTGAATTAAAGTGAAACATCTGAATAATGGATAAACTTTGATTAGTTCAATAATTGAATCTGGGCTAATAAATCCTCTTCTCCTGTCTATTCAGCAGTTAAACAATTCGAAGTTAAAATAAAATGAAAACTTTGCAAACTAATGTGCTGCAATGTACAGTATATGGAACAGCGATAGGATTTAGATACACTACATGTTAACGGAATTTGGTCAGTAATTGAAATAAGCAATAAATGATATGGTAAAAAAAACTTTAAATTAACAAAATTGTTTTTAATAACCGTTTAGTTACGATTAGAATTAGCCTACCTTGATATATATTCATAAATTCTGAAAACTGTTGACTGTTAACTTGGCTGCACATAACCTGGTTGAATTATCTCAGTGGCTGGGTGCTCTGTGTAAAGTGTATGCAGAAAATTATGTTAAGTACTATCGATCATGATTTCTCTAAATGGGAAAGGATTATTCTCACAGGATTCGGGGTTATATTTAAACTTGAATATTTCTTCTTGAATAATTGTTGAGTTTATTCGTTCATTTTTCTCATATAAGATGAAGCAAAATAAGTTCATTTAACAAAACTTTTCAGTTGTTGTCGAATATTCAGGCAATATCCAATCAGACACGTAGGAGCTCATATGCCAACAGAGATTGAGCAGTTCGACCCCGTGTAGCAATGGGAAATTACAAGAAAAATTAAAAAACAACTGATACCCATGACATAAGTGATGGCTCTCCTGTCTCGGTGGCCTAGTTAGTAGAACTTTGGCGTTCGAAGCGATGGGTACAGGGTTCTAGTATCAGTCGGAATATCATCACTCACTGGCAGCAGCTACATCCAGCTGACGAGTTCCAAATGAGACGAAATGCACGTTCTGTATTCAAATGTTAGCTGTCAAATAGACTACAGAAATAAATTCATTTGCAGTTGTTAGAACAAATAACTCTTACCCGAAACTTTTTTGATACTAGTTTCAGTATCAGTTACTTCATACCTAGCTGCGATTTGAAGGAAAATTTAAAACTCATTGATCGTAGGGCATGGACTACTGTTCTCCACATTTTTAGTACCAAACTTTGCTTAACTGAGTTGATTTCCTCCACACTTCAATTAAAAACTATTTTTCTTGCGTCGTATAAATTAAATATAAAAAGATGTATACGTTTAATCATACTAACTAAGCATTTACTTTCATCGACAGTTGGAACCAGTCTTGATTAATAGACAGATTATAACATTATTTTCCACTTATCAATTTTGATCATGGTATTCCTTTTACGTCACATCTGATGTCATGATTCTTTTTGTCAACAGAGGTTTTCCAACCGGTCAGTTACAAAATAAGTAAGTTAAATGCATAAATGTGTATCCTTTCTTTTACTGTGCAACTTTGTGCCATAATTCATTTACTGAACCTCTTCATTACGCGATGCAAATGCACGTACAACAATACGAAGCTATTCTATGGCTCTTTGGTAATGATTTTTATTCCACAATAACGTTGATTGCAGTGTCAGTTATAACCATTGAATGCAATTCATTTGGTCTTCTAGGCAATCAATCTGAGACCACCCTTATAGCTATCAAGTCATTAAATGTGCAACTTCAATAAAATAGATCACTTTTAATGTTTTGACACTTTACACTCTTATCAAGAATAATTACGAGACAGAATGAACACAATCGTATATAATGCTTAAAATAGGTGTACCAACTGAGTGTTGCTGTTAAACCACTGCTAGATATCCACATCCGGTTAGAAAAGCGCTATAGTTGTCCGTTTGTTAGTAATTTAATGATATCAATGTAATGTGTTTCAGTTGTCAGACTAATCACCCATTTGCTCAAAAGTAATAAATTTAAGCTACATGTGTTGAAGAACAACGTCTAACAGACCTAATCCCAAAAAACTGGGTTTTATGACTGAAGCGCTTCTTAAGAATCCATCTCGACTATAAGGGAAAAGCGCGCCATCATCCGTGATCTGCTTAGTAGGAAAGGCTACCCAGACAAGTTTGTAACTAAGCGCATGAATATTACAAGGGTTAAGACAACAATGCCAACAGTTCCTAAGAAGCAAATCTTCTTGAAGCTGCAATTTAAGAGTGATATTGCCAGTAAGATCATCACACAACGCATAAAAAGAGTCTTCCATAAAGCATTCCCAGCCACTAAATTATGTACTGCCTTCTACAGCCGCCCGATTCTAGGTTCAAGAAATAAAGGCAAACTGCCTGATTCTGCCACTTCTATGTGTATTTATCAATTCAACTTCTCCTATGGAGCTAGTTACATTAAGCATACAATGAGGCAGTTCCATAGTTAGATTTCTGAGCACCACCCACCATGGTTGAACAAGGGACAAATTAGAACTATAAAGAGCTCCATACCTGCACACACAGGACATCAAGTTGTTACTGGAAAAGCCTTCAAAATCATCCATCAGATTCCAATTAACTTACCTCATGGATTACGCACTCGGTTACTTCACATAGCAGAGGCGATTGCAATCCACCTTTACAAACCTAGCCTTTGTATCCAAAAAATTTTGTTCGACCACTTTCATTACCGTGGCCGTCAACATGATGTAACTTCTAGGTTTACTTTGTACACCTCTTCCCCTTCTTTTTTCTATCAATACCCATGTTTCCAATTTTAGTAACTCTATTGATTATTTGCATCATTATTTCCGAAACATCATCACGTGATTGGTAATTTGATTAAACTCTAAACCTATATGTTAGTGTAGAGCCCAAGATGAAGACCTAATTGAAAAGGAATATATTTCTTCGCTCAATCAGTCTTTTTCTAAATGTCTAGATGGAAATATTCAGTGTATAAAATTATGGTTCGAAAATCATCTTCCATTTTCCCTGGGAAATATTGTAACTATTGATATGATTACATCAGGGATACCTTTATTCTGAATATTCAAAATAAACTATGCAACTGAGAAGATATTTTGAAGGCAGTTGTTTGTAACGATTTAATAAATACTTTGATGCTTTTCCTAACTCTTTTTTTAAATATTTTATAAGCTGTAAGTTTACTACCTGAAAAGAAAAGCCACTATAGTTTCCTAAAAATTCACTAGGTAGTAAAAAGGAAAAATAACCTGCTTTCTAGTTGTCACTGACTTTTCACCTACATTCAGAAAATGAAAATCATTCACAATCGAAGTATATCATGAGAGGGAATCAACACGGATTGAGACTTAGTAAGACATGCTCTGAATAATGAATGTCTCTTCTTCTTAGCATTTGCTAGCCCATACTCCTAAGTTAAAATAAAATGACTCATTTCATTAAAACAGGAACTGTAAAATTGTTAAGAACCTACATTCTGTGTGAGAACTGATATCAGTGATTACTTTTTCTTCTTTCTGCTACTTCTGCTTCCTGTATCACCAGCTATACTAGTATTTTTTGAAGGAATAAATGCTGACACGTTTGTTTTACACTTGACGAACGATGAGTTTCCCCGGCTACAGTGTATTAAGATAAAGAGAGTTTATCAAGTGTTCTACTAAGGAGATGAAGATGCATTTTCGTTCTCCCCTTATCAGCCATGCTGTATAGTGTTCAAACCCAAACTTCATAAGCCGGTGCACTGTGCACACAGTCAACTGAGCTTCACTATGCAAGCAAACTGACACACACATTTATACAGCCTATTGCTTCAGCTTATCTTCCATGTAAGGATAAGTTAGTTTCTGACAAGCGAATAAGATTCTGAGACTGGTTGCGAAAACGTTTTGGCTATGGATCTTGATAGTCGCTCCCTACGGATATCTGCATATTGATCTTCAATTGTCGAATGGTTTTCAAAGCAGTGTGTAAGCGTTTTTTGACGTTTACCGACTTTAAATCCGTATCTATAAATTTCTGTAGGTGTATTCTCCATCAGGATTTCTCAAATGTTCTTTAAACCATTATCATTGGTATTGTCTGTGCACATTTTTTTGTATTCTAAGTTTTTAATTAAGAAATTAACTAAACCAGTGGATTTATTTTAAAGCATATGGCTTAAGAAATTTCATCACAGAAAACGCATCCAAAGAATAACAGATCTAACTACGGCACAGAGGAACTTATTGGAAGTTTTGGTTTTTGGAGGTCTCCTCAGCTCCTATACTTTGAAAACATCACACATAAAATCATGATTTCATAATGACACTCTCAGATCATGTAGAAAATGAAGATCTTTAGCATAGACTAATTGATCTAGATAATGAACACATGATTTATTGGTTAATATGCCTCAACCACTTCCAAAAAATTGAGTTTTGTTGAAATTGTATGTAATTCATGAGTACTACAACACTTCATGATATTAAAAACTTCTGTGCAATATTCTCAATGGTGAAATTAAAATTTCGAATCCACGATGGAAAGCAGATTCCTTCACTGGCCGGAGAATAGATGAATAAAAGTCCATAAATGTAAGGAGTTTAGAGATCGCACTGACTACCTAAAACTGTAAAAATTCAATATAGCATTAAACCTAGAAGCTCCTTGATATCTTCGTTAGATAAGTAATATGCACCATCAAGTCGAGGCAAAGAAGCATACTTCAGTTTTTTTAAAGCGATTATAATATTGAGTAAGCTGGATTTAGTAGACTTATTTAATCAGTATTTTTGCTCCAGTACAAAATTGTCTGTCAGACAATAATTAGACATATATCTGTACAAAAGCTGCTGCTGTATTTAGCGGAAAAACTCGTTACAACTGATTGTAGGTTGATTTTAAGTATTAGACTTCCGGTTAAAGTGAATTTGAGCCGTGAATATAGTCACAGGTTTATAATGATATAATTAGTTGTTATCAAAACCCATTGTGATATCATTACTTGTTTAAGTTCGCATCAAGCCATCTCATCAACCACCTAAATTAATAAAAAAAAAAGACAGCCTCATGTACTCCACAAAGTGTGCAAATCATGCCTTCCTCTTATTTTGGATAACTGTCTCTGAATAACAGAAATGACTGCTTAAGTCCTCCTAATAAAGACAATTATATGTATACAACCATAAGCTGTTTGAAGTTTTAATACTATAGCAAACAAGATAGTTAACTTTCACTTTGAGTGAAATTATATGGTTTAAAACCCACTGCTGTAGATTATCAGCCGATAGATAAAATACTTATTGAATATCGTTATCGATATGATAATTATGTATACATTCGGAACTTCACAGTGCCCAACAAATCTGCACAACTAAGTTGATTTGTACCAAATAACTGTCAGACATCTGGATCGTAATGTACAATAATGATATATAACCGGAAGAGAACATGTTGACAAAAGACCTTTAATGACTAGAATAAAATTTTGCTACGAATAATCTGAATCAGCATACAATGATTTGGAGTGTTATATGCAGTTAGCAATGTCATTGTTTATAAATACACGAGCCTCCAAGCAACAGCTAAAACGTACAAACTTTCCGACTGCACTTAAATACTTGCTGCTATGGGTGGGTGAAAACACTTCCCGTATGAAATCTGCCAAAGTAATTTGCAATTAGGTTGTTCAAAACTCATGTCACATTGCAGGCAATGGCAGCCAACTAATCAGTAACTCATTTGGCTTCTCAAATTAGGACAACATCTGCATACCCAAAGTCAAAAAGTTTTTCTTAAAGTGGCTGACTTACAAAACGACTACCCACTACTCTCAGAATTATTTACTAATATCATCGATGAAAATGTTCACGGTGAATGGTAAGAATCTGTAACGTATACAACCCTCCAGGTAATATTAGACATTTTAGGCAGATTTTTTAGTGGATTTAGTTTGCTTAGATGCTTCTGAAAAGAGCTCTAAAGGTGTGAATATATTTTGTAGGGGAAAGCTATTATGAACACAGTTCCAGAGTGCATTCCTCTATAATGAATACAATGCAAAAGTAATATCAATAAATGCAAAACATCTTGCCTTGCAAAATATGTGGTAATTCTCAACAATCGTTTTAAAAAGGTATCCTTGATAAGTGATCTATAATTCAAATTAAATCATCCTGATCCTCTGAAATCACTAGTACTAGGGTTTTGTAATATCCGCAAAATATGATAGCAGCCAAAACTGGAAATAACCTAGTACCCTAATAACTTTCATGAACGATATTCTGACCTTTTTAGAGACTGGTATTAGGTTGGCTTTATACCAGAGAAGTGATATTGTACTCTGTCTCTTGATTCCTGATTTGTTCATTCAATTAGCTACTTATCAAAACCATATCTATCATATGCACTTGACTATAGAAGTCGATTAGTAGGTAATGGCATTATTTATTCGGTGTATCCAAAGTGTGCCTGACTGTAGCGTAGGCATTAAAAACGTAATTTGTCTTTTCTTCTACTTACTTCAAACTCTAATCAAGCCTTCCTGCCTGTTGACACAAAATTTAGCGTTAACAACTACCTACCAACTTGCCCAGCTACAAACAATATGTTTAATGTAATGTCGATACTGGAAGCCAATGTCACACGTGTCACTAAATGGGTGCCGAAAAAACCCACGTTTCAAGCTGGCAGATGAAAAGCTGACTCGAAACACCTCATTTGCGCTTTGTATGTGGGTCTCTGGAATTTAGATCACGTCAACAGCCAAACCGTTTATATGTTCTTTACTCTGAAAGTTGTTTAAGTATGCGATTTCAGAGTAACAGAACAACAGGGGGCTTCGAGAAATCAACTTTATAGTGCCTTTAGAAGTACAATAACACAGGAGCCTCAAAAAATGACAAACACTTCAGTGGATAATGTTCAAGAGGAAAGTAAAATTATTCAAATCAGAACAACACAGTTCATTTATAAAAATAGAAACATAAGCAATAAACAAAATTATTCAGAACATAGTTTGTAATGTATTCGACTATATTGGTTGTCAGAATACTGAAAAATCATCTATAAACCTTTTTTCAATTTATTATTTTATAATTTTTGTGTTTGTCAAGACATTACCTGGCAGTAGTCCTAGACCAGTTATAGATTATGTGATATAGAGTTTTGTCCTTCAGTAAGTATAGTGATGTTAAGTGCTGCTTTTCTGTGGTTATAGGTGAGCGAAGCAAGTTTTCAGATCATCTCAGTCATTATTTCGAAAACAATTTCATAACTAACACAGATGAACTATCCGTGCCTGCAAATTATTATTTATTAAATTCTTAATAATCACTTTATCCCATACAATAACTTTTAGTACAGTTTTGAATTGTTAGTATGACGTTTACACACAAATTAATTTCTTGAGCAATATTTCCAAATAAAAAACCATGGTAGTTAAATAATGCTAATAATAAGAGTATGACAGCAACCACTATTTCTTAGGTCATCGTCGAATTTTTGTGTTGCTTAAAGTATGTCCGATAGAAAACTATACATAAGTTTGGAGGTGGAGGTTCATTCGTCCAATATGAAGATTTACTGTCTCAGCTACATAATGCACTATTGTGCGTTCATGGACCAGCTACCGTCTACTGTGATATTTTCTTGCAACCCTGTTGTTACTAGTCTAACTATAAACTGAAGACATTTTAAGAGTGCGCGAGAGTATGTTTTACGATCTGTTGACACTTGAATGATTAAAATAAGCAAAGTGCAGTTTGATGAACCACATTCGATATTTTTGGTAACCCAAAATGTAAGCAGGCTGCCAACAGTATTGAAAATCCTCCATCGTCATTTTGAATTTGTGAGACAGCTCATATTATGTGGAGGCAGTAAAAAAATTTTCCTTTCGTCGGATAAGAATTTCTCACCATACTACACCATCTCAAATGGAATGATGAGCCGTAAATAGAGTTAACCATTCCGCGACATTTCACACACATTTATGAACTGGCGCAGTTCATAAGATTTGTATCTTTAGGTTACTTTCAGTAGCATACAACCAGAATAACTAAGTATTCATTGAAATAAAATGTCAGTCCATGTTTTCAAGACAATGTAACAAAATACAATAAAATAGGGTACACGATATATCAGGCATCCAAGGAGAGACAGTTTTATATGATCTAACTTTAACTGATAACCTTGAAGCAACGAGATGATGATATGCCAAGTGAATAAACAACACACTCAAACTTTCGATCTAAACAATCGTGATGATTTTCGTTACTAACATATACAATCTACTATGGATAATATCTTAAGTACAATCCGCATTTTTTTGCTGCTGTGGATTATTCTCACTTAAACCAATCAGCAGATTAGAAACTACATTAAGGAATGAGTAAAAAGTTAGGTTTCCAGTAGGGTAACCACAGTCAGTCTTCATTACACTATCATGGATAAATATTTTATGGTGTATGATGTAATTAAAGTTATCTTGAATATATAAACATGTTTTATCTATGAGATTACAAAACCTCCTGTGCAATTCAAGGAGAGGATGATAAATTTGTAGGAACTGTTATTTTTCATTGTTGTATTTAATTCAGTTTGCACCCAGGGGATCTGATAAAGAATATATATATATATATATATACATAGTAGAAGAATGTTGCACAGGTTACAAAATTTCTATATCTAAAACAGTTTATTTGGAATTTAACAAAATGCTTCTTTCTGTAAATTTAAATGCTTTTTAAAAATTGGAAAAGAGACAGAGCGGGAGTTTTAACGTACAAGAATGAGACTCCCCATTGCTTATTTCATATAAAATAAATTTTTATCATTTGTTTTATTCCACTATATTTAGATGTCCAACATAAGCCTCTAAGGTGTAAATAAATTATAAAATCTCAGAATATAGCGTTAACGTATACAAGGAGAATTCGACTGAAACAATAAATATGATGTACTTTATTCATATTGACGAAAGTCCTAAAAGAAAAACAGGGTTTACTCATAAATCAATAACACTCAGATTTATAAATAAAAAGGTACACTTGAGCTCAGCTGTTAAGTGATCGGTAAACCCATTAATTTAAAACATTCCATATCTAATTATTTCCCGAAACTGGTTTGCTTTTCTCCTGATCTTGATACTCTTATAAAATGTGGCTGGATAATGAAAGTTGATATTGACACAACAAATATACTGGTAGTACATTATGTCGTCAATTACTTTTTGCTTTTGGTAAGCTATTTTTCATATATCACCAGTCCAATGGCTTGCACGTTTGTGTAAGAGAGATAGGTCAAGTGAATGCCTCACTTTGTCAGCTAATACCGTCATTATGCTCTCACTTAGTTAACTGCACTATCCAAGTAAAAGCATTCTATCAGTTTGTAGGGCTGTGCATAATTCATTCTATGTGTATTCAATTCTATAATCATTATGCTGGGTGGATCAACTTTGTGCTGTACTTTCACTGCTGAAAATAAGGGTTCATATCATGTTCTGATTGATACACTTTGTGTTTTGATTAAACAAAGCAAACAGTCGCTTAACATGAAATCTACTTTCGTTATCACTTTTCTTTACCCTGATAGTTTGCTTTTTGTCAACGTCACCTTACTACATGCTCCTGTCGGGGGTTATTCTAGGATTCTTTCAGTCACGTCCCATTCTACATAGTGATATTTTTATTTTTGTAAATTCACATACTTGAACTCTAAGAAAACAAGACAACTTTGCCGAATCACCTCTTAGAAGTATATAATTATATTACTTGGTTTTATGTATCAAAGTTGACTTTTGTTGGATTTATCTTTTGAAGACAATCCCACACCAGTCCATACCCCCGTTCGCTCTGCCATACCAATCTCACGTCTGCCAGAACATGTAGCTATGCTGAAACGAGACAGTGGAATAGCTATAGCAGATGAATATGAAAGTATCGAAACGCGAACGGATTTGACTTGGAAACATGCAAACATGGAAGAGAATAGACCGAAAAATCGTTATGCAAATGTCATTGCATACGACCAGTCACGTGTTATTTTAAGCGAAATCAGTCACATACCTGGTTCCGATTACATTAATGCGAACTTCATCGATGGATATCAAAAGAAAAATGCTTATATTGCAACTCAGGTTAGTAAAATGAATTTCATCCCTTTAAGCTTTTACTTTGAATTATCATTCCTACAACATTTCAGTCGTTTCAATCTATAATTAACTTAAAATTCCCTTCTACACTAGACAGAGTTCTTTCAAAAGAAAAAGACTGTATTTTTACGTATTAATACCGAGAAGTGGTTGAACGCACCACAGTTTCTTTAGTCCACCTTGAATTCGACACTTTAAAAGTAACTTTTCACCTATTCTTTGAGAATATATTACACGTTGAATAAAGTCCTAAGGTTAAGAGTCAACGGCATTTATGAAAAATACAATAATTGGCCTTCTGTAAATTATAATTCCAAACAGAAGTCATCAAGATTTAGGTGCTAATTCTTCTTTTTCTCATCCCTTTATTATTATTATTGTTTGAAAATTGAGTCATTTTCTTCATCAATGCTCTTGCACAAACTTCATAAAGTTTATATTATTACGCATTAAAACTAAATACTAAGCTGACTTACTAACCGTACATTTTTTAAACAATAGATTTCATTGGAAATGGGATGCATCCAGCATCTAGACAGTTGTAAAATCTGCCTATTTTAACAAAATAATGTTATGAAACCATATAAGTTTTCTAGAAGCAAAACCAAATGAATGACTCAGACTGCAAAAAACGAAATACTTGAATTATTTTCGTAGAAATACTTCATTTAAAGACGTAAAAGTTACTGATTTTTGTGACAACTAACTGTCCCTATAATCTCTGACTTTAGTGGGTTTACATACTTACTCAGCAGATAATTGATACAGTTTGACTAATAGAGCGATTCAGCTGACCAAACGATGCTAAGTGGTCTAGCGATGATTGCTTAGAAGGCTGCATCAAGTGATCGTTTACACCACACTAGTGACATCCTTCAGTTTGCCAAACTTATCACTATTTAAAAGCGCTAGAAGTTATTCAGGCAAAAGAAAGATTTATGTAAAGGATTATGAAACGAAATAGTGACCAGTACAGACAGTCAAAGAAGACGTCTTTTGATAGAAGACGGCATACTTTTGCAACTAAACACTTGACAAGGATAAACCTTCCTAAATTGTTCTGAATTTCCAATAGTTTTAGTATTTTTGAAGCAAAAACTAGTTGGTTCCTACAGTTAGTTTAAAAAAGGTGTATAATTTATGGTAAAAGAAGTCACAAAGTTTCATCGGTACGAGGATGACGATAACCAGTTTAATGGAAGCAAGGGAATATTTCTATATCCTTCTGATTTAAATGCTTATATAAGGTGTAAGCTCTACAATATTTTTACACTCGAATGTTAACTTTCGATGTATAACATACTCTCGCGAAGCAAGACATTTGTTTACTTATTTTTTTCTTAATTATTACAGGGTCCACTACCAGGAACATTTTACGATTTTTGGCGAATGGTGTGGGAACAGAACAGTCGTGTGATTGTTATGATGACACGCTTAGAAGAAAGAGCACGTATAAAGTGTGACCAGTACTGGCCCAATCGAGGAAAAGAGGTATTCACCTACCAGCAACAACAACAAAACCAACAACAAGAACATAACACTAAAGTAAATTATGAAGTTAATAATGCATCAGTACCGACATATACTGTGATTACAAAAGATACACAAGAATTCGCCTATTATACGCTGCGTACATTCATTTTACAGCGCGGTAGCGAAACTAACCCAGTAGAATCTGAATCAAGAGGTATGAATGAACACCACCGTTATATTGATCCAAACTTGAATAATGAACAAAGAGAAATTAAACAATTTCAGTTTACAGCATGGCCTGATTATGGCACACCAGATTATCCTCAACCATTATTAATGTTTATACGACGTGTCAGTCAAGTACGTTCACATTTGATTCATCATATGCAACAAGAACGTTTAATTAACGATGATAAAAATGCTTTAAGAGATTTGAAAATATCTCATTCAAACGATATTCGTAACTCAATGAACTTAAACTTGTCAGATGAAATTGGGCCACTTATTGTACATTGTTCAGCTGGAGTTGGGCGTACAGGTAGCTACTTCTTATCACCTTTTGTTTAATTTTATGACATTTTATTGTAACATATTGATCATTTTTATGCATTCTTAAAACAACATTTAGCATGTACATCACAAGCTGTTTCTTATTTGCCTTTAACAGGCCAGAAAATGGCTGACTACGTTGTTAGCGTTAGGCCGTTGTTTGTCTTATGAAAATGTAACTTCACTTTAAATTTAACAGAACTCACTTTGATCATCAATAAATATGCAGTAATATTGGTAAGAAAAGCCAATCCTTTTAAAAGTTTGTCCAAAAAGTTTTATTTACATCTTTCGAAACCATGCATCCGAATGGCTAAGTTGTAACTTCTCTCACTACGGCACCGTGTGATACTGATTTGGATTAGTTAAGAGGCACCCATTCCTAAACAGTCAGAGATTTGCTTTATTTAAGAGGGTGAATAAGCAAGAAACCTAGGTCTTGAGCTTCCTGTGGGTAGTCTCTAACTACCAAATATCTTATCTTCATTTCTTTACTTCCAACTCATCAAAGTTCTTGTTAAATTAAATGTGCATTACTCACATTTCCGCAAAATGTTCTCAATTAAACTTTATAAGGTTTTACGGCTGTTGAAGGTAAGTTTACCTACTTGTGGAGACAAGTTTGCTGGTAAATGTAAGAAAACCCAATATGCATACTGAGATTTTTCAGTCAACATTGTTAGACTATATGTATATATATGCACTTCAGACGAAATTATAATTTCTTTTAATTTTCTTTCAACTAATTATACCTGCTACTAGGTGCATTCATTGTGATTGATTCTCAGCTTGAACGACTAAAACACGAAAACTCAGTAGATATATTTGGAGCAGTTTGTCGAATGCGTGCTAAAAGGAACTTCATGGTGCAAACAGAAGAACAGTATGCATTTTTATATGATGTATTCATTGAGGCAGCTGAAGTACATGGGACTGAAGTTACAGCACACGGTCTGTACAATCATGTTGTAAAACTGCGTCAACCTGTACCTACATATGTGTTAGCGCGTTACAATTTATTACCCAACGGTATCCAAGACGGTAGACTTAACGGTAATAGTGCAAACACTAATCATATAGCACCATCCATAAAAATTTCAAGTTTGGAATTAGAATTTAAGGTGAGTAAAACCTTTTTTACGTTTAGATGTTATTCTAATTCCCTCAATAAACCATTTTTCTGACCTAATTTTTCTTTACCAGATTATGGTTTAGTCCCTACTGAACAAACATCTATTAGAAAAGCGTTTGATTTCACCATGAAATAAATAAGCGGTAACGTCTATGCTTGAGTCATTTCGTGGGGCATGCTTAATTCTTTTAGAGGGGTGTAACCTAACAAACCTCACAAATAAACCTCTCTGACAAACATGAACTAGCTGGAGAATTAAATTCTAGGTCTCCAACCATCAAACCTGCTAAGAACTATAAATTAAAATATCTGGCTTATTCATTAGCATGACTATTAAGACTGGGAGTCATTTTAGAACTTAATGTACATTGAGAAAGGTGAATATGAAGGGACTGACGACGTGACGTTTACAGTCCACAGTTTCCTCAGTGTTCTTCAAACTGAAAGTAATGTAATGTAATGTAACTGTGTTTAGATAACCTAAATACGGTGAAAGAAATAAGATAAGCAGAATCTAGGTGTAATAATAATTTATTTTACTAAAGTAGACTATCACTTCTCTTTAATTCGCTCTTCATACAGAACTCAAAGTGTAGACAATATTTTTGAAGATACTTGAAGTGCAACTAAACAACTGAGATTCACTTCTTTCATCATAACAAATGAATTACTGCAGACCTAAAATTACTGATCAAAGTATTTGCTCAACAGATTTGTTTTTCAGTACTTGACCCCTAAAATGATATTATACTAAAAGAAGATAGATCCTTTGTAAATAAGAGGCGAAAAGTTTCAACTCGGGTAAACAGTCTGTTGTCATCCACATTTCAATCGGCTCTTACTTGATGATATTATGTGAACATTAAAATTCTTTAGTGTTGCTTAAATTACCTTGTAACCACCTGCACTTTAAATTCAAATGTTACCCACGATTTGAGGATAATGACTTTTGACAGAAGTATGAATTATATCTGCATTTAAAATTCTTTTAACGAATTAAGTTCTAAGTGATGCTACTTAAAACAGTTGTTAAAATGTTCCCAGACTTGTTGATCATGAACTGTTATTTAGTGTCCGTTGTTTTTCAGTTCAAAAACTTTGAAAGCTATCAACTTCATGTTAAGCTCAATTGAATGAACTCTATACAGGCTTTTGAAACCAGGGACATCATAGAATAAGGTCAGCCGAAACTGAAATTCCGTACAATAACCAGAAACGTACTTGATCTAACTTCTACTTCTACTTTATTCATTTCAGAAACTTACTAGTAGAAACCCATCAAGATCTGGTTTATTTTTTCACTCTAGGTTTCTAAAAACCTCTAAGCCTCATGTTCAACTATAAAATGGTGATCTTTGTCTCATTTACGTGGCTACTGATGATGAAGCTGTAAGCTAAGATGATTTCAGTCAAACCATTCATCGCAGAGCTCCACCCACCATCTTAGAGACACAATCCAAGTATTTTTCATTGACTCCTTTTCTTAGCCTCTTTCCCTCATCACCTCGAACACCTGGTAGTCACTAATTAGCTCTTATGCTGTCTAATTGTCTTTCAATTCATTCATTATTACTGCAGGCAACAGCTGAACAGGCTTGTAATCACTGTACCTTTCCATTCCGCCTTCTGCTTCTGTAATTTAATAAAACTAGAATGCGTTTCTCAGTACCACTTAGTTCATAATCAGATAACAGTGCTGATTATGTACTCCCTTCTTTAGTCTCTTCAGCTGATTGAGGTGTTCATCCCAGATTCTGAGGAGAAGGAAGGCTGATATCATACAAAAAAGGATAATTTCCTTTCTGTTTTCGCGCAAATCTCGAACTAGTTTTCTATGAAATATGTATCAAAATCTTTTATATTTCAACTAACTTCCCTCTAAGGTCCCCCAGTTACATCAAAAAGGAACCATTTTAGAGTCAAATACTTATATCTAAAGGGCCAAATCAGCAAATAAGGAGGAGGCGTCGTTTCTGAACTAATCTTTTAACTTTATTAGCCAATGAATGTCTTCCGCTTAGCTTAAATTTGAACTTGAAGAGGAGCAACTAAGTGAAATATTGCTCTACTGGTTTCGGAATTGAATTATAAATTGATTTAATTCTCACTTTCTATTCACTAGCACGAGTAACTGTAAAAGCCACCTCAACAACTATTTCATCTGGCAAGGTAGCTCTTTATCAAATATAGAAATCTAATTGGTTACTTCATCAGTTGCTAGAGTGAACTTGAGAGTCACTAGGACTGCTGCACAGAGAGCGAGTATTTTGTAGATATATTTCATGCTGCTTCCAAAAGTAGTTCCAACAAGTAGTCCGCACAGCATGAAAAACATGGCAGTTAATGAATGACTTCAGGGGCCATCCTAACAAATGATGGGATAACCAACTACGTTTATGTCTTTTGTGAAAAATTAACTTGCCAACAAAAATATCGAAATCTGATTGGTTATTTTAGTGGTTACTAAGGTTGTACTTTAAGGCCACTATGTTAAATATTTGTGTTCATACTAAAATAGCTGACAAGCATAGACTCAGCTGCACCTTAAAGATAACTAATAGAACCATAGGGCAACTACGGAAATAACGAATTAGGTTTCGGTATTCCGTCCAGAAAGGTGGTCTTTCATAAAACAGATAAGTCTAATTGGTTATCTCAGCAGTTGTTAGAGTGGCCTTTAAAGTAACTTGAATCATAATACCCGACAAAGTTCACGGAATAAGAGTAGCCACTGGGGGCGAATTTAAAGGCCATACTAACGACTGAAACCACCAATTACGTTTCTTTATTTCCGTTTGGAAAGGCAGATTTCCATAAAATACAATCATCTAATTGGCCATTTCAGCTGTTGCTAGGGTGGCCTTTAAAATCACCCGCCTATGAAAACAATGTTAGATATGGCTTCGTAAATATAAAGGGTGACTTTAAAGGCTACCCTAACAACTGATGAGATAGGCAATTATGTTCTTTTTTATGGAAAACTACTTTCCAAGACGAAATACCGAAGTCCGATTGGTCATTTCAGTAGTTTCTAAGGCAGCCTTTAAAGTCACTTGACGTTACTTAATCTGGAAAGTATCGTGTTACTTTAGCACTCAGTAAAGTAAGGACTTTTCAGCATTGTCCATACTCTATTAATCCCCATGGTTGACTATATGAAACCAAGACCAACTTTAAAGGCCACCCTAGCAACTGTTGAAATAGCCAGTTAGCTTTCTTTATTTCATTAAAAAATTGTACCATCGTAGCCGATATAACGAAACCTGATCGGTTATTTCGGCGGTTGCAAGAGTAGTCAATAAAGTCACTCTGATGTCACTTATGGTTTTCCTGTGATGATTTGATCGAGCCTGAGTCACGCATATATATATATATATATATATATGCAGATGCTTGGATGCCAACGTTCAGATATCACCTCTTGATAGCCGCCCAGTTTCTCGATAAATGGAAAAAGCGTTAATATAGCAGATCTATTATAGCGCCAAATATATGTGCAAAATACAGCAGTTTATATATATTTACAATGGCTTTTGCTTTCTAGATTTGAATATCTTATTGATTTCGTCTCAACATGTTGGTTCATGTGTTTTTTCCTGAAACTTCGAGACAAAAGGATTAGTTGAAAAAGGCTTCAAGGGTGTACAGCTTTTTATAAGTATTTTAATAATCTTATAAGTACTTAACACACCTCCATTCTAATGAGGAAGCAGAAATATCTTCATTTTTTCCACATAAAATATTTTTAATGAGAATAGGAATGAATGCCAGTTCACATATTTTATGAAAGCAGCATTGATAAACGTTTCATATGCGATCATCAGTTTGGTACTCTTAAAAAATTAGTAATAGATTAACTGACCAAATCTACGATATCTTCGTTTGACTGTATTAAAATGGCTTTGTTTTTGTTAACTGATCATGATGTAGATGAATCATGGTTGAAGTTGAAAAAGCTTTGACCATGTCAGAATTCAAGTAATCATTCACTATCATCACACGGCTCCATCAAAAAATATATGATGGAAGCGCTAACTAGATATCACTTTCATTTATATTAATAACCATATTACCAGTGACTGCAGAACACTGGCGTGGGATAATCGGTATCACTGTTAAATGATAGCACTGTTTATTTTAATAAATATTTTTTTCTTAAATAATAGTCAAGATGTTTAACATAACGCAGAAAAGTTTTGTTTATCACTAAACACTGGAGTATTACAATTTTTCTCCGTAAATTTATCTTTCAGAGATTAAACCGCAATCTACTTAACAAGCGCCAAATATCTTCAGCACTGACAAATGAAAATCGAACTAAAAATCGAGATCTTGATATACTTCCTTACGAATCTAACCGTGTTTGTTTGTCACTAATCCGTGGAACCACTGGATCAGACTACATCAATGCGAGTTATGTTGACGGGTATCGTAAGAATAGAGCTTATATCGCAACACAAACACCTCTACCGAATACGGTGGATGACTTTTGGAGATTGATTTGGGAATGCAATTCACCAATTATAGTTGCATTTAGTGATAATCGGGATATGAATTCGGTACCAAATGACACAAATCAGTACTGGCCAAGTGACAGATCAGTCAGATATCAAAATTTAATGGTTGAACCTATGGTTGAGTATAATATGCCACATTTTATTTTACGCGAATTTCGAATCACTGATACAACAGATAGCCAGTCACGTACTTTAAGACAATTTCAGTTGCATGGATGGCCACATGACAGTGTTGTACCGAAGTCCGCTGAGGCTATCATTGATCTGATTGGTCAGGTACATAAAACCCAAACTCAATTCGGACAAGACGGCCCAATAACTGTACACTGCAAGTAAGTATCTCTCTTTATACTTCACACCTATGAACCTTAAAAAGCTAATTTTATTCAGTCTTATTTTACTGTTTGATAGTGGACAACAATAAAGCACTTTAACAGGTTAATGAAGTGAACCTTCGAATACACTAATTTAGACGAATAAACATTTGAAAATATTATGAATTAGATACTGCATCCTTTTTCGATATTATAATTACTTTCTGAACTTCATTTCATTATGCTGGTACATTTTGCTTGCAGAAGTCCAAAGCTGACACCAACACCTTGCATTTGACAATTGTTTCTATTATCCATAGCTTAAGATTTAAATTCATGGAATTCAAGATAACACTATCCTTCAGTCTCAATAGTTCTTACTTCTGCAAACAGATCTCTTCACCTTATGGTGGGATAAGCCCCCACTCAGTAAAACGGTAATAATGACAAAATTGTTGGTGTATTTCAACTGATACACTAAGGTCATTTTTATATTTTGATCATAATCAATGAATAAACACACTCATGAATAGAAACATACAGATTTAAAAAGTAACTAAAGTAACAGCATCAGAATACAAAATAAAACACAACATATAAAAATGGATCTGACAAATAACATACGCTGGAAGTTTTAGAGTCAAGTATTTAACGTCAGTTTCAGTACATTTAAAGGTTGCTAAGAAAGTGGTCTCAACCTGGTCTTCACCTTACACACCTTAAAAGCAGAATCAACCGTACAGAAAGGATAGTCTTTGATAAAGATAGTTATGACTCCAAAGGAAAACATGTCAGAAGGAAGGTGGAAAAATAATATGGCTTTAAACAGCTCACTATTTTATCGTCTAAGACCACTCAAAACCTCTCATTTTATATGGTGAAGAACATACGCGAAACTTATATGAGTGCTTCTAAGCACGTTATTGTTGGATTACTGAATAGAGACCCTTCAATCTGATTCATCATCTACTTTTATGGTATTTGTATTGCTTAGAAACTGAGGCCATTTGTGGATATACGATATCTGATGAACTTTGACTATCAATATTGATAACAACAACTCGCAGAAAAACAGACAACTGATTGGAGTTTGTTTCTACAATGTTTTCGAATTTGGTGTAGGAGAACTCTTTCGTAATGTCAACAAGATTTATTTTGAGTAAAAAGGTTTACACAATGAAAAAATGGTGTTGGTGCAATAAGAGTGACCTGAAACTAAAGAGCTCTTAAAAATTTACTCCAGGAAACCAAAGTCACTAGCTTAATTTCAGACGGTTCGAAAGTAAAATCAACATCAAATTCTGAAGCAGTAAGAGTCAGCTATTGGCTATATTCCACCGTATCCTTTAATAATATGTGTGAAGCCCAGAATGATATCATTCACCGACTCATATGCGTCAGTCATTACTAAAATCTCATTGTTTACCTGACAGTATTAACCAGATCGAAATGTCATTATTCATTTACATAAGTATGAACACCATAACTTATTCGTGTTTGTTTGCTATTGTTAGCAATGTTTCGTTACTCCTCCAATAACGGTCATCAGCTGTTAAAAGATTTTACTTAAGGGACTTACAGACAGGAGATTTTTTGATAGATGTATGGATCCCAAACTATTTTAACAAAAGAAGAGTTGAGTACTTATGACTCTAGAAAAATAATTTCACTTCATAAATTTTACTTGACCTTCTTAAGGTTGATTGAGTCTCATTTTTAGATGACTATCATAACTTTGTTCCACCTGTTAAAAATTTCCTCCTGCAAGGCTGCAAAGTATTTGGGTGACTGTTTTTTTAAATTTAGATAAAGTCGAAAACATTTGAACATTTATGTTTTGTTTGTAAATGTTTTTCATGGCTAATAACTAGAAATGTCTAAGAGAGTCACATTACTAAAATATTTTTTTAAAGGTAGAGGTTCCGAAGAAACAATACTTCTAGATAGAAATAATGAAGCCATGATTATCATTTCGAAGTAAAACTCTGTTACCATGCAGCTTAGGTGATATGATGTGTCAAATAATGTTATTGACATTATTCTTTCGGATACTTATTCAAGCTATTATAAAGCAATTTGTATCATGAATTGATGCAAGTTCAAAAAATTGGGAACAGTGACCACCCTTCCCCCTCAGTTAGTGACTTCTAAATGTGCTCAGGTGGGACAACAAATACTTTTCGATGACATTAAATTATACTATATATATATATATATATATATATATATATATATATATATATATATATATATAACCCAATTAAAATAATATAAATCTAGTATCATTATCCAATCTGACCTTGAAAAATAATAGATGCGATAAGCAACTTAAAAATAAGTAATTACTTCACAAGTGGCATAGTTTTTGACAAATCTAAGGGAAGAATACATGAGTGTAGGTTTATTCAAGAAAACTGACAAAACATCTTTTAACTTATGTAAAGTTTTTTACCAATAAAATTCACATATCGTTTGCTTCTATGGCGACTTTTGAATTCAGGTACAAAGAACAATTAAATAGACAATACTATTTCATGCAACTAATGGTTGTAACGTTTTCAAAACAAATGCAATAAATTCTCTGCATGAACATGAATGACGTATTCTTGATCTATTTATATCTACTAAAATTTGAACACAAAGTTAGCAAAAATATATATATTTCTACTTATTTTCTGTTCATCATGATAGAAGAATTATTACTGTCTCTAAAATCATAATATATTAACTGCTGTTTATTCAAATCCAAATAATGAGTTCATTCAATCACATAAAACTATTCTGCCTTTTAGTTTCACAATAAGTATTACTGACTGGAACTGGTACTTATAGGTCTGTCACATTAATAAGCAATGGTGTCTAGCTAAATCAAGATGGTATCAACATAAGAAGGTCATTTCAATCGTTTGTAGTTGAGTTCAACAGAGTCTATTATAGTTCAAGTCATTTGAAATCATATTTTGTAGTCATAACACCAAATTTTCTAAATGACACCTGACAAAAAAATTCGCAAATAGTTATCATTCAACTGTAACTCTCCCTTAAAACTATTTACTTCTAAACTACCTGATTTAGTATTCACATTTCACAGTCTTACAACAGCAGTTACAAGGTGTTATAATTGTATGCCGCTTGCATGATAATGAATTTTTTTCCTGATTTCGCATGTTATATTCTCACAGCCTTAAAATATACACATTTCTTAACCGTAGTCCCTTGAATGACTGTTTTTTTGTTAGCCGGTGACTCTAAACGAACACAGACTGATTACTGGTAGAAAATTCCTTGAAAAGTTCCAATGATCAGGGATGACACAATTATATAAAATGAAAAGTTTATTCATAGAAATAAGTAGTCAAAGTTTGCTTAAGAAAACATTTGAGAGCAATAAAAATGTACTACTAAATGTCGTATATCTTTTAAAATTTTAACGTGTGAAAGTGTTTTATTCATCTAACTAAAGTGAAGGATATTGACGTTCTTTGATGTTTCATGGTTGTTAAATGATGTTCTTCTAACTGATCTACTCAACTAGCTTTCTTATTTTTTCCTTTTATCAACAGTACGGGATCAGGAAGGACCGGTGTATTTATATGTTTAAGTCTTTTGTTAGACAGAATGAGATGTGAAGGTATGGTGGATATGTTTCTAATCACACGCATGTTACGCACCCAACGAATGAATATTGTACAGACGTCTGATCAATATGCATTCTGTTATGCAGCGACCCTTGAATATTTAGCCTCCTTCGACCACTATATGAGCTGATCTTTTTTTATAAATATTCTAGTTTATTCCTGGCACTTGTTGACACACTTTCCAAGTTCAATATGAAAAAACAGATATGTAAAACTCAATGAAAATAATGAAGTTTCCTAGACTACAAGAACAAATTATATATATATATATATATGAGTGAGGAAAGATGTAATTTGACAAAAACAAAAAGAGAACGCATTTATCTACGAAAATTGCTTTAAAATAAGTTTGTTATACATTTTTATTCCTACTCTTCTCTGTTTCGTTTCCTGTTAACAGAATAAGATAATCCATCTTCATTTCGAAGAGAATTATACAAATTATCATTTCGACTTATTTACTTACTAATTTATGTGTGCATTTATATATACTGTTATATGTATTTATCATTTACATGTAAAATAATTATTTTTCTTGAGTGGAATACGCTTTTTCTTTCTCCAAACCCCGAAATTTTGTGATATGACTTTTGTGCTTTTGTTCCACACTTGCTTTCTTTCGACTTTTGTCTTTTTACGTATCAGTGGGTCCTTATTTGTATTTTTTTCACTATTATTTCTTGTCCACATTTCTCTATGTTTTATTTTCAGAGTCTTAGGCCTAAAGAAATTATTATTATGATCAAGTATGTACCATTTACAAATATTAATACACATATATGTATGTTTACCTAAGTAAAAATTGTTTTTGTTTCTTGCTAGGAAAAAATAACGTTCAAATCCTTTAAACATCCCATAAGTAGATAACAGCTGAATTTGACGTGTACACTTCTTTATCTTTGAAAACTCATCTGCTGAGTGTACTCAGTTGCTCTAAGTGATAGGATCACTGAAGAAAGTGGAAAATAATGATTACGAATTCGAATTCCGGAGATTTCTTCAGTTCTTTGCCCCATATACTATAGCTATCTTTTGTAGACACGTTATTATTTGTTATGAAATTTTTTACCTTACTAGTGCCATTTCACTGAGCTTTATCGTAGTATGTTTTGACTATGAACTAAAATAGAACAGTCTAACGTTCACTATAACTTTCTTTATTTGTACAAAAAAAAACTATTTAAGGGGAGTGATTTTAAATAACTGCTTCCTCCTTATTTGGGCCTTGGAAGTAACACAAGAGTTAAATTTCTTAGGAAACTTGAACTCCAATCTTTACCGAAAGATAATCTAAGCCGTATGATTAAAATATACTCCCTAGAAAACCGTCAAAATAACAGTTCATAATTAAGAACATTCTCGGCTACATTGTATATCCAGAGGTTTCATCAAAGTCTATGAAAACTGAAGAGATCAGGGTCTCTAATCAGAGTATTTTTCGCCACAAACAGTTAAGCAGGTTTCGCGTTGTCTTCACAAGTTCCTTTGAATGTTTCTCGGATATTTTTGTATCTCGTCATCTAATGTTGTAGCAGTAGATATTTTAAAACATTCCTCATGATTAAGTAGTCATCGTTAGGAAAAATATGTTTCAATCTATAAAAATGTATCGAAATGTTCAAGAATACTGACTAATTCAAAATAAAAGATACCATTTTTTCGGTCAAAAATGATTATTATAAGAGCAGAACTTGGGCACTGTGATAGTGTATAACTCTACATTAGGTTTTTATTTGATATTTTACACAGTGAAATAGTATTACTTACTGGATGACGTTTCGAACGGAATGTATTATTCTTATTCATATTCAACGTCACTATACATCTTTCACATACTGTCTTTACGGTACTACTCCTCTTTCCTCTTTATTTATCAAATCAACATTAAAAAACGTGCGATGGTAATGACATAAATTTCAATATCTGGAAAATTCTGCTGGCCATACAACAAATCGAGGAGAAAAAGAAATGGCATCATAGAAACGGGATATGACAAGTGAGCAGGTACCTTCGATATAAATATAACAATAAATCTTGTTTGAAACGTGATCCAGTAAACAATACTGTTTCATTGTTTAAATTATCAAATAGACAACCTAATACAGAATTACAGAATTACAAAAGTGAGTATGCTGAATGAGTTCACAACTTTGTTAACAATCTTGGAAACTGGTTTCGGCAGTTCACCTTGACTGATTTCAACCACTAATATTTGCTTCGGAAATCACTCTAATTTCCTTGTTCAGTGTATTTTTACTCAGGTTTATGAATGTATGTAAGCTGGACACAAAAACATTCTGTGAAAAAATGAATATCTGAACATTTTAATTTCAACTGCAGTTTTTTTAGTGCAACAAGAATGTTTCTTCATAGGAAATAACCGTTGCTTTCAGTCTTCTCGTCCGATCTTTGGTCAGACGAATACAAGATATTGTTCTCTTCAAAAAGAAAATACAGTGGAGATATTGCAGTCAATATACTCTGAACACTCGGGCTCTAAAAAACAACCTGTTAGGTCGTTTTCATGAGATGAATGAGGTGCAAAAGAGTAAGTATTGGGTCACCCATTACATGCAATGTTCTTATAAAAGAGAGTGGAAAATCACAAAAGATTAGAGGTCTTAAGATTGAGGATTACTCTTCTTGAGTTACAGACATCGTACCGTTACTCGTTCCGCCAACATTGTAGATTTTAGTCAGATTACACAAACAGCGTAGATAGAAAGTTTCTAACTGTGGCTGAAATATTGAAACATAGTGATTCGAAAATTTCAAAATTAAAGTGATGAACACCTATTTCATAAATTCATGGGTAAACGCTCGATCAAATTATCTACAGGTACTTCTTTTTTAAAACATGCATTAATTTATGGCAAACATTTGTGAAAACTAGCTTGTATAACTATTTATTAGTACACACATTTTGTATTCCTCACCTCACTGTTCATGATCGACACCTATTTCTCCTATTTTTGAACTTCAAGAAATGCTGTGTATGCTGACTACTAACACCTATCTATTCTACACCGAATTCACGTGGAGAACTCGCTTTAATTAACAAACATGTAACCTCAGAAAATAGAGAACACCTCTTCCTTAGTTGCAATAAGATTTATGAATACTAACCGGCCTAATTTAGAAATCTCTAGAAACCACAACTGTCGTCCTTAGCAGCTTTAATTGACTCGTCAATCCCAGATACTCTTTTCACTAGTCACTAGTCACACTGTTTTCGGATTAAAATGACATCATACTTCAGTAAGCACTGGTTTTAGAAACCATCTTCTCTATATTCACCTTGAAAAGAAGGAAGATATGGAAAGACCCACAAAAGCCTTGCCACAAATTCAAAGCATATGATAATCAAATTAGAGACTTTGTTTTGTTAAAAGGTTAGAATGAAGGCACTGGTAAGTATTTAGAGTAGTTTGCATTAAAGCTAAAATGAAACAATAAATGATGAAATATCAATGAAAAATTGAAAATCCTTACTTCATTTATCAGTCATGGAATTAGCGAATATCCTTCAGACATACAAATTTATGCTATTGACAAGCTTTTACCCACATAAACTCGTAACTTTACAAGAAATCGAAGTCCATAGTACAGACAGTCATATTTTGTTGAAGAAATTCCGGTCATATGTCGTGGCAAACAAACTATTAATGTAACGAAGAAGCAAAGAAAACCAACAGAAACACTATTCACCAGTGAGAAGAATAATAAAGGCTTCTACTCCAGTACTTAATAAGAAGTCCATCCAAAAAATACAAAAAGAAGGAATTCTTCAGTACTTTGCACCACACATGTGGTTCCACACGTATACAAACTACATTTAGTGGAAAGCGTACCGCCTAGTTCAGCTTTAGGCGTTGGTGCACTTCACCTATGTGGCTGGTAAACTTGTAGCGACTAGCCATTGGTAGGTTTCCATCCAGACTGTAGATATGCTGTTGCAACAGGGTGAGTAGAATAGTTTCGCTTCTTCGGTGACCACGAGAATCTTTTAGAGAAAAGAGGAGAAGAAAAATGTGGGCCGACGAATCAGCAAGGGTAATCTTCGGTTTTAGAATTTGTTAACTAAGATACCATTTGACATTCTTGGAACTATATCCTGTCCACCGTATGAAAAAACGGCTTAACTGTAACCATTTCTGTACTCCAAACCACCATCATTAAAGCCTGCGTATATGTAAAATCGAGTCAAAAGTTGTTGTATATTTAGCAATGAATTTTTAATGTTTTAAGACGAGTGTCTCAAAGCGATGGAAACATTGTTCAAAATTTATGTTGAAAATTATGTTTTAGGTATCAATGAAAAGTTTGTACATTGTGAAATGTATCAGCGTAAATTTTTACTCATTGTGTTAAAACTTTTCATTGAAAATTTACTCATTATGTTTCATATTTTGATTCCGTTACTATAGGACGCTCCATAATTTTCTTGAGATTTTTTTCACTAACCTAAACTGTGTTACTTACTTAGTGATCAGTGCTGCCTGCTCAGCTGAAGTAATCTTTTAACTTCATTCAACTCCAATAGATAAATATTTATTCCTTCACTTCAGGAATATTTTTACTTTACTAAAGTATTTCACTAATGCCGTTGGTTGACTATTTTCTGTAATTGTAAGCTGCTTTCATACCGGAATAATTGAATTTCAGCCCTTACTGTAATGCTAATTAGATATGATTCTAGTTAAACCATGAAAAGAGTTCACCAACTGGATTTATAGGTTGCATCAGTTTTGTGTACACCAGTATGAGTTTCCTCTTCAATCCTTTCTCCAAAACCCTTCGCCTTTGCCAAGTAAACTGTACTGTAACGTTTGAAAATTGAATTTGTCACCATTGTTGCCTTACGTTATCAGTACTTCTGGAATACATTAAACACCGAACATGAAAGCAGAGAAGTAGAGGAAGTGGAAGTAACAATATTAGAGACCAAGAACAAAACACTAAACATCATCAAGTTATTCATAAAATAAGTGAATTTATTAACCGTAGACTAGAAACTCTGTTGACTTTTCTACAAGGTGAAACGCAAATTTTCGGTTGATGAATCATGTATTTGTGCAGTAATTTCGAAAAAAGAGGAAGGTACCTAATAAGGAGGAAAACACGTTGCTTTTGAAGAAAGATAAGTTGTGGCTAAAAGCGTATGGACGCATGATCCAACGAAACAGTGATATGTGTTTTGTGGAAATTGTTCAGAAAAGCCTATGAGGCTTTAATATAGATACAGGATGAACAGTAGGCATCTTACAGTAACTTTATTACTTGCTGAGTACGAAAACAGCACTGTGAAGTATGCACTGGCCTGTGATTACTTGCAACTTGTGAAGGTAATTGGTGCACATAAACATTGTTGTAGCCGATCAAAGTTCAGTGGTTGTTCACCCATGGTCAGCCAATATGGAGAGACCATTTTCGTAGTCAGCCAGCAGCAAAACATACTTGCTTAAGATGATCGAGCATGATACACTTTAGGAAGTGGCCACGACGGTCGCAGATCAAAGAATGAAAGTGGTAATCAAATTAGGGTTCAATGAACCCTTGTCAACCACGAGTTACCATAAGTATATTTGACAGACCAAGGCTCCTGTTTTGAAAATTAACAACTTGCCTAACCTGAAGGAGCTAAGTACCAGGAGGATAAGGTCGATAGTACAGGATGTACGAATTAGTGGAAGGAATAGCTATATACTGAAGACATGATTAGTTTTGGAAAGAGATAACTAGAAGTCAGAAATGTTGTAGAATGTGCTTCATTTATCCCTCCCATGTGCTTTTACAACCAACGTTTTATCTTTTCGTTTCTGCTTCTCACTGTAAACGAGATCTAGTCGGATTACTTTTCCATGACTCTACCACCACTCAGTTTTATACGAGAAATTAAATTATTATTTCATCTTTCCTATTTTACTTATCTTTTCATCCGTAATAAGTCACTCACTGAAAGGTTTTCCCTAACTTTTATCTGAATATTCCTACATCTAGCTTTAAGCTGTATGGAGTAGCCAATATATTACTTTCCATCTAAATGTCTTCGTTGAGGCTTTTTATCGCTTTATCTTTCTCCAACAGTTAGATATTTAGTCCGTTTTTTGCAAATATTAGCTTTTTTGTGCGCTATGCAGCTGCTAAGTAATGAACTTCTCTTGCCATATAGTCCATATTTGTACCAAAGAAGCTGATGGTGAATGCATAGGGCCAAGAGGATGTATTTGCGATATTTTTTGTTATCCAGCGTATTATTACTTTTTATTACCTTAGGTGATACTGTGGCAACCATGTTATCTAATCTTCGGTATTTCATTGGGATACGTAGTACCCAAGGAAGCAATGTGCACATTATAGTAAGAACATGAGTTGATCGAAAACTCTACTGTATTGTTAGCTGTGTTCTTATCAGAATAACATTGTTTTATTTTTACAAAAACCACATTAACCTTGTTAACATATTGTGTCTGTACAACGAATGCTTAGGAAAACCATCTTCCCAGCTTGTGTATAGTGGATAACAACGACCTTCGATGTGCTGTAAGACCTGACAGCAGAGACCGAAATGGAGTATGACGAAGTGAAAAGGGGAGGGATTACAAAGTAAAAGATATTAATAGTCTAGGAAAGGGTGAACGTTGGAAAATCAGGAAAGAAAAAAGATGGGGAATGAAAACTGTCTTACTTTGGAGACCAAGTGAACTGCAAAGAATGACAGCAGACCACAAGAGGTGTGCCATGGTCGGTAAGGTTAGTCCAAGGGTGGAAGGAAAATGCACGGAAACGCATGAAAATTAAATAAGTTAGAAAGTTAGTTTGAAGATGCAATGAAAGGCAGCTAATAAAGACAACTGTAGAGTAGTCACAGTGGCTGCAGAAACAAATATTCTATAGGAGCGGGGGTAACTTTGGTGCTTGCTACGTATCAGAACACATGTAAGCAGAATATAGTATCAAATCACCGGAAAAGATGGTTGTCGTTGACACAGCCTGTAAAGTTTCTGGAAGAATAAACAAGAAATATAGGAAGCGACTAGAGAAAACAAGCGTATAAGCGATGCAGAGTCTAATGTGGGGTGCAGATATTATCCGCCCGAATTGCGTTGAATGAAGAGTTTTGATATTTATTTAGAAACAGACAATTCCATCTTGTTGTTTTTTACAATTATACGACAGACGATTCAAAAGTGTGCAACGAACATTATCACACAGACATTCGTAGGTTGTGACAGATTCCTCCAGAAGATTCCCGAAAGTAGGTAATAATTATAACTAATAAACATCTTTATTCTCAAGTTATGAAGTTAACATGAGAGAAGCCAGTTTGCAGGCCTCATCAAATTGATAATTGCAGAGAAACATAAAAGGTTTTAGCAGTATTGAATGATACAGAGGAAGGACATTAAACTCTATCATGATACCAAGTGTCTAAATGTTATGAAAATAGCAGGAAAATATCACTTTACAGTACATACACATTGTTCTGAGTTTAAGTCATTTCTGCTCACAATTCTTTCTTCACATCAAACGGCGCAATATTCGGTGTTTGTGTTGTGAGTAGTCGACATGATTGACCCATCTACAAGGCCAAGTGTTTCGTCAGGTAAACGTCTAATTTAACAGCAATTCTTATGTTCATAGCTTTATTGACCAATAATAACTTACTTCAATGATTTCAGGAATAAGTAAGTATCCATACAATTATTTAATCCAGGTGAATGTCTAAGTTCAGGCGTTTCTCACTCTTCAAGTGTTACCATTTCCAGCAATTCAGATTGGTAGTACTGAAAACATTTGTTGTGGTGCAAGTAATTAAAGAATGGAAGAATCGTCGTTCAACAGTGGTGAGTATTACACATGTGTAAAACTTCATAGACTTCACATTAAAGTATGCAACATTGTCAAGGAGATACATTGACTGTTAATTGACTTCTATTAGGTGGATTGATACAAGACAAAGTACTAGAGAAATCTGTTTAATAGCATTATTATGGATGTGTTACCGTTAGGTAAAGTGATCTCTCGGGTTGGATTGTTTATCCAGATTTCCGCTGCATTTGTCACAGACGAGAAATTGGAGACCAGTTATTGTGCTTGGGGTTTCGTATGTGGTAGTATTTAGGGTATTGGTAGGGAGGTGAGTTGGTTGTGAAGCTGTTCAAGAAACAGGAAAATTGGGGCGAGTTAGCTGGATACTTCTAACGCCAGTTTCCAGTATTAGGTACGAAATAGGATTCCCAGTAAATTGATTCTTTTTTATAGAACTCATGCTTAGGACTTTCTCTTCAGGCTGATAATGAAAAGAGAAGAGAAAAGAAAGCGCAAGGAGAAACTGGACAATGGAATACCACGTAAAACAAACTGGGAGAAGAAAAGTTCCTGTCTGTTTAAAGTCATTCGAGCTATATGTAAACTTTAATTTATTCATATGAGAATGAATCTTCCTTTTTTTTCCTATATGAAGTTCACACGAGTTATTAGATAGGCAGTTTTGTTGGTAAACTTAAAGGGAACACTGGTTGTGTATTTGTACTGCACAATCCGACCAGATGTTACATAACCGACAAAGACTTCGAGGTGTAGTGATGTCCTGTTTGAGTAAGCGATATCAGTGAATTAGCAAGCCATAAACTGCCAGTTCTTGTGTGTCCAACCGAACTGCCAGGCTCCTGAAAGATAGACGGAAGAAGAAGGGGAAACATGGCGAAACAAAATTGCATGGTAGGTTTCAGGATAATATATCAAGCCTATGTTTTCACTCAGCTAATCCTTAAAAAGAAATTCTTTTTGGCAGGGTACCTTAGGAAGTGAGTAAATCCAGCCCTTCTACTTGATTATTTCCCACGCACTTTTCTTTGAAAATTCTTCTTGTGATTCAGTAAAATGATTGACAGATAGTTACTCCTAATGAATAAGCAGAACTCCCTGGCATGGCATTCCTCCATGGATAAGCATTGTTACTCAGCACAATACGTTTTAAAAAATTGTGTTTCCATATAAGGCTGCTCAAAAGGAGTGATCTTAAAGGCCACCCTAACAACTGCTGAAATATCCGTCGGGCTTTGACATTTTGCCTGGAAAAATACTTTCCCCAAAAGTAAAGGAATTTAATTGGCTGTCTTATCAGTTGCTAGGGTGGACTTTAAAGTAACCCGTCAGAAGCGATCCTCACACCCTAACAGTGGTCGATACCCACGCGCAGCATCGTTTGAATGTGCAGTGTACGAAACTCACGTGTCATATCTGTAGATCGTTTGGTCAACAGTTATTCCTTATATGCTGCTGTATCAGTCAACCTGAGCGATAAAGGGAAGCACTGATACTCAATTTGAACCCTCGAAAGTCTCTGTGGTTGTTGTTCTGTTGGTTAATAAACGCCCTGAGAAACTCTGTATAAGTAGAGAATGATTATGACATCAGCTCATTTTGACTGGTCTCGAACAAATTAGACTTGATTACTGAGAAGTTGGATATCATTTAGAGTAACTCATTCCAACATACCTAAGGGTCAGTGATTGTCCTTGGAAAAAAACAAACATTAGGGGGAAAACTTGGCGGCAGCAGATGATTAGTCAGTATCTGCGAGTGTTTTGAAATAGATTCATGCTTGGAAAACTTGGCGAACTTAGGTAGTTTGAGGTGAAATTTGGGCTATGTATCCTCAGAACGCACGCGTTTCAAAGGGAAGTGGTGTTCAACAATAATATTCTTTTCGAGCTTCAAGTTCGATAGATGTACTCTGTCTTCGAGTGTATTTTTATTTTTACTTGGATACTGAGGTTTCAACTCAGTTTAAATTTTGGTGCAATTTATTAACGCTTGTGTAATGCTCCTTTTACAGCTTCCCAGAGCACTCTGTGTCGGTTTAGTTTTTCTCATTATGCGTTTTCAGGACAATGGCCACTAAACAGCAGAAGTGTAAACTGCAGAGTGCGCGTCAACCCGTTCAGGCTGGTGTGCAATGTGATACGTACGATGGATGGTTTCACAACTCTTGAACAGGCTTGACACAACTTGAATACACTGAACTCATTAAGCCAGATGGCAAGTGATATTGTCGTTTATGCTGATATGAATGAGGAGATGTTCTTCAGAACATTAACACATCAACGGATATTGGGAGAAAGATTATATCTTGTCGAGAAAAGGGGAATGGGAAATAGAAAAGCTCAAAAACAGTGTATGGTAGAAGGGGCTGTGGAGTTGGCAATTGAACAACGGGAAGATGGTCATAGTCATCTGGCAAGAACAAAGAATTGATATGATACACTTCAGTAATGCAGCAATTTCAGCAGTCATGCTGTCCTTCGATTGAATTTTGTCGTTAATTGATTGGGCAGAAAACTTAGAGGCCATAACGATTGAGTGTGTTCAAGAATTAGAAAGGGCATCTGTTGTACAGGGCCAAAATAGTCGATTTTCAACTTCGCTCAAGCACACTGGGTCTTGGGATGCACGGGGAACAAACTGGGATTGGAAAAAAAGGATATAGGTGAGACCAAGACCAAGTCTGTAGTTAAATTCAGTAGCCGGCGGACCACGTCAGGCATCGACAGGATTGTCAAAAAAGCGAATAAGTTCCCTATAAACTAGGCCAAAACAAAAGAAAAACTGAGGCCAAGCTATAAATAACACTACCCGAAGCGACTCTGTGTTCATCAGTAACCTGTAAGGTACTTCCGATCTTCACTATAACCTTAAGGACAAGAACGATAGCGCTATGTGGGGAAACGCATGCGGCAAAACATGAGTTGAGCTACGCAAGGTCAATTGCTGCAACTAGGCTCTCACACGGTCCAGAGAGAGAAAATAAGGACGAGTTTTGACCCTTAAGGTTAACATTTTCCAGCTAAGAGGTCTTGAGGAGGTGCTGTCAGCATCCCGCACACTAAAATCTGAAGAGGACGTTAGCGTACACTAGATATCTTCATCTCCGAGGGAATGGCTGCAACAACTCGGGTGACCCTCGTGAGGCACAGTTCAGGGGAAGGAACTTGATAATACAACGAATACCCGAAAACCCACCTACGAAAGACATCCACAACGATTGCCGTGAGTGAAAATTCGATGAACTGCAAAGGAGTAATAACACAGAACGTCTCAGAGATACCTAAACGGATGATGACCCTAGAAGGAAGCCAACCAAAGTAGCCTTTCCATCCCTTCAAGTGACAGCATCCAACTTGAAGGCATTCTTGACAAACAGACATCGCTTGCCGCCTAGAGTTTTAATGCAACCAGACAAGTCAGAGAACAAGAGGCTGCAACTAAAACAGCAAAGATTAGAGCTGGCTGTGACTCTAACCAGCTGCAAGAAAGCAAAGGCAGAGAAGAAGTGGAGACATCTCATAGCCAAGCCACACTCAAGTAGGTTTCTATCCCCCAGACTTAAGGATTTAGCCAGTAAATCGGGTTCGGGAGTTGCATCCAGGTAGACGGCATAGACTGCATGTCCACAAATGTACAGTTTCCAGAATAAACTCGATGAACTGCGGCAACTAAGTAATTACACTAGCTCTCATTCCATGGGTGTTTCTAAGGAGTGGGTCTCTCCCCACCCGTCAGATCAGAAGCTGGCTACCTCCAGCTCAACGCTAATATGTGGCGACAGGAAGGATGGTTAGTGGGGTAGCGCCTTACTCTATCCTCTCTCTTACAGCTCACCATTTCCACACTCAAGAATCTGTTTGTCTCGAATAATGTATCTGGGACTTCTTAAAGCTGTCCAATACCACAATGCATGGTGAGAGCCACTTATAGGAAGCCGTCTGCCAACGTAAAGTAAGAAGATCAAGTGCCAGAGCCAACTAGCCCTCTCTTGAAGTGGGGAAAATGCATACTAGTTATGGAGACTTTAATCTACCGAAAATTAGATTTGCAAATTATACTTTAAGTGGCAATGGCAATTCCACTGGAGCCCAGTTCTTCTACCGGGCTGAAAAACTGGGGCCTGATGAAAATGTAAGGTTGGCAACGCGATAAACGGAAACTTAAATCCAGTGCCGGTTACAGTGCATCTTCACCGACGAAGAATTTTCAACTGACAACCTAGCAATCTTCTCATTTCTGAGTGGGAATAATCACCTTATTATGGGACTCCAATATGTCTGCGAAACCAACCAGATATGAAGATTCAACGAGTGGCTTCGGAACTTCAGATGAATGAACATCCCAGCTCTTCGGATGGAGCTGGAATGGGCAGGTTGGTTGGTTGACCATGCAAAGCAGATGTGAACATGTGTTGGAGATTATTACTTGATAAAATTGTGCATGCTATGAGTAAGTCTGTCCCACTTTCAACCACGAGAAGCTCCAAATTACCTAAGGTGATAAGCGACTTCACTTAAAAACTGCTTGGATTAAAAAGACACCATTGGACCAAACACGAAATAAGTGGTACTGAATACATATACAGGCTATTCAAACAGACAAAAAACACATATTCGGAGACACTGAGAGCCGATTGGCAACGACACCGATTTAGCCCCTCAAACATGTTCATTTATAATAAAAAGTCTGTTCTGGCGTACTGCATAGTTGCGGTAGGTTAAAGAGGTAGTCTCTCAACTACCAGGTCCCAAAGAGCTGCCTAATAGCGACACCAAAGTAGGTGAGCTCCTACCCGATCACTGTTTACAAATCTTTTAGTCATCGTCCACCAACTCATGAGTTTATGAACATTTCTCTGACGAATAGGGATTCCCAGTCGTTGGCTTAGATGCTGAGCTGGTACAACACAAACTGTTACTGTTTACAAAAGATACCCCCCCCAGGACCAGATAAAATCCACTAAGTTGTTCTGCGGATACGAGCTTC